TTCAGCTTTCCAGCTCAGCTCCAAGGCTATCCAAGGATAAAAATTGACCCAAAAAACGATAAACTGCGCATAAGTAATACCTTTAGTAGCAGTTTGTTTTAATTATTTCAATATCAGACAAAGCGAGAGAGAAAAAATTTCCAACGATTCAATAACGCTAATTTAATAAAAATGTGCTCGCAGCTCGTTTTATAGTTCTCAAGCTAGGCTCTTGGCGAGATTAAACTCTTGAGAGGCTGCTTTCGTGTCACGTCTTTTACGTCGCTCCGCGCCAGACACATACATAAAAACAATGGAACGCATTGCACTTCTCGGATGCATTAGAAGAACCCTCCAGAAGTGGATTTGCTCGCAACCTACATATTATACGCCGCCTCTGTTCCAATAGAAATCATCCATTTTCAGCGCCAAACGAATCACCAATGCTGTTTTTCTTATTCAAGAACGAAAAAAGGCAAAGAGGTCGGCCCCGACTCCTTTGAACTCAGAAGTGGCGATTGCGTGGATGATGTATTGTTATGATGTATTGTTGCGGGCAACAGTCGATGTTGCTTGGTAAGTGAATTTCGCTCCCAAGAGAGGCTGCAACTCCCGAGAGACTGCATCCGTCTTCATATTTCACCGCATCTCGAACATCTTCTCTCTCGCTGGAGCGGCGTCTGGAGAGCTCATTTTTCCGAGCGGCTAAAAATCTAATTTCCAGCCGCGCCAAAAGTAAAAAGTTCTCAACAGTGGAGTGCATTTATAAAAACTCTCTCGCAAAAGCCGAAAGCATTTTAAGAGAGATAAGAGAGTTTTCACTTGTGGTTGGCCCCGCCGGTCGCGACTTTTCTTATGCTGTTGATAATGGAATCAGGGCCAAAGTTCGCGCATTGGGTCCTCGATCAAAAAGTTTTTTCTTGTATTTATTCGTGGCCCTGTGTCTATTTTATTCCGTTGGCTGCGTGTGAAATAGGGAACGGGAGCATTTTCCATAAGTTAAAAGTTGGTGCCAAAGTTTGCAAGAGGACCGATACATTATTCCATTACTGGCCCTCAAGGGAAATAAATGTGTGGCTTGGCGTATGAAATTTCGTTGTTGGTGAATATACGATCAATCAAACTGGGCGCAAAACGTATGGACCTCAAATTTTGCATTGTAAAAAAATTAACTTCACTTATTGGATTTTATGAAATGTTAATTAACTTAAAATACTTATTTATTCAGCAGGTATTCAGAAAAAAGTAAAGGATAATATTTTATAACTTTTATGGCATATTTATTTTTTGCTAAAACTTCGTACAGTTTGCTTTTAATATAATATTCGTGTTAATAGGTACAATAATAACATACAAAATACAGGCATTATTACTGATTCAAGGATTTAAGTGGGATATTTGATATTTATTGCTGCATTCAACCACAAGTATCAGCTGCAAAAGATTAATATACCTTTAATTTGGTATTAACGGTGTAGCTCTCATCTTAATAGTATTATAAGATTGATAATGAGTACAAAGGTTATCCTTGTTTATGTATTGCTTATTGATTATTAAGCGCTTTAAACTAATTTTTGGTATCCTATTTCATGAGTAAAAAAAGTACAAATTTGGAGTGTAAACTTTTTTCAATGATTTTTTCGTTTGATGTTAAACTAGGAATAAATTTATTTAAGAAATAAACTATCCATTTATTCTTTAATTCCTAAATCAATAACTTTGTTTTTACAAGTTTTTACGATTTTTAAACTTGCTGAAAGCACTATATAGACTAATTCCATTTTATTTTATTATTTTTTTTTTTGCCAGCAGGCGTTTTTGATTAATTTTTCAAGCGCAACTACCCCTAACTTATTTATCTAGCAGATGAGTTATTAAATGAAGGCACCAAACGCAAACATACAGAGTGCACAGTGAGTGAGTTTGTGGTCTACATGTCGATTACACGGGGCTAAGCCAATTTGTGGCGGACAGGAAAACATCAAAGCGCCTCCGTTAGTTTGATGCAAGTGGCGCGTATATATTTGCATGGCGGCCAAAAATTATCAAGCCAGTGCAGCGCAGTCAAAGCAGCAGCGAGATGGGTCAGCAAACCTAAATAAGCCAACTTTGATGGGACATATATTGTGCCATTTAGTTAGTCGCAGACGCGCCATTTCGTGCCGATGAAACAGAACGCCGACCTGTGCGGCCTGTGCTTTAATTGAATACCTTACCGCACAGAAATGGTTATTAATCAACTTAGAGCTTCGCTGGCACTAATAATAATAAATAAAAACTATTGTAGTTGCAGATAAATCATAATAAATTATGTTTCTTTACTTTTATTTTAAAATGTTTATATTAAATATTATTAAAAAACAAATAATTTTCAAAGATATCTTTTTAAATTACATCAAATCCTTAAAAATATCGCTATTCAATTTAAAAAGCCAAGTTTTTTACAGAATTGAGTTATTTTGATGTCTCCGTATACCTGTCGAGGGTGGAATTTTTTGTGTCAGGCAACAAGATAAAGGCTTGGAATCTCCATCAATAAAATTAGAGTGAGTTTTCCCATATCTCTCTCGCTGCTCCAACAATTGAAAAAGTGACGCGCCGTGTGAGCGACAGTTTAGCGGTCGTTGTGTTTGCGAGTGAAAGGCGGCCGCGCGCGTGTCGTTTTACGCGATCTTGCTTTGTTGTCTGCCTCATCTGCGATTGAAATGCACCTGTCCAAACTGTCAATCAATCCAAAAAGCGATTTAAATACTCGTATCTAATGGCGTGCTTTGCCTATATAGAGCAATCCCAACGAAATTCCGGGGCTCAATTGAACAGTAATTAATAACACCAAAATCGAAGATGAAAAATAAGTTCATGATTAAAATGAGATATGAAGAGCGATTAGATTTTTTAGCATCTTACATCAATTTTCATTGTATTAAAACGAAAAAAGGGCACTTAATCAATTGTAAAGAAGAGATAGAAATTAAAGTGCTTGATTAGAAAATGAAAAATTTTAACTCAAATCGTATAAAATATTTAATATGTTTCGAGCAAGTAATCAAAAATCATTTTAATATATTACTTCCAAACTCATGGTGGTAGAAATTTATTTAAAAAACGTATATTATTTTTTTTAAAATCAATTTGCGTTTTTTAACATTTAATTAGTTAACAGTTTAACAGTTGAATTAAATTTTTGGTGCCAAACAATCAAAGAAAGAAAAACGCAATGTCTTGAGCAAGCAGTAGTTTATGATTTATTTTCTCTGTGCAATTTTCCCTTTACCGCACAAATGCAATTGGTGTTTTGTGCCTGCCGCAAGTACGACATATGTACAAGGAGTGCTGCTGCAAGTGCAAATATTTATTTATTCATGCACTGACGTGCGCTCTTTGCTCTTGGTGTAATTTATCATACGCTGTAGCGGCTCGCGCGTTGCACTGCACACAGCTCTCAGGCCGATAAATCGAATCAATTATTTCACCTGGGGGAAATCATGCGAGCGCGAAACAAAAATCATCCCTGGGACCCTGCGCGTGTGTGCGTTTTGGCAATCCACCTTCACCTGCGAGAGTAAAACTCACACACAAAAGCGAGGGCTTATCAATATTGGCCGAATTTATTAATAAAACAACACGCAACTGCGGCACGATGAATTGCCGGCCAGGGAAAAAAATTCAATTACCCTCCTCCTCTGTCTTCCTCCACAAAAGACTTGATCAGATCGTCTTTGCCTTATGGATTTCTGACTTTTGAAAATACACCTCGAAAAACTCATATTCCATTTTATTTGCAAATAATCTGATTTAATTATATTAAATTTATTATATGAAAACTTCAGTTTATTATTTTAAGAATCAAACCATTTCACTCAAGAGTTTTGAGACTTTGATGTAATATTGAGCCATTAAATTGACCAGCCTCGCTCAGGCGGCGACAAGCTGCTAAAATTGCTCTGCTGCAATCAAAGTAATAAAACGATTGGCTCAGCAAGGAAATTCATTATTTTATTAATGAAAGGAAATGGATAAAAAGGAAGTTTTAGTTAAATATTTAAAGTGTATCTTTATTATTTTTCACTGCAAATTTAAAATTTTACTATTAATTTACCTTAAATTTCTTTTGAACTATTATAACGAAAACTGGAATACAATTAACAACGCAAACACAAACATGACACAACTCTACACTAAAAACATACCCAAAAAAACTCTAAACTAACTAATGAACAAACATAAATTTTTATTAATTTAAATTATCAATTAAATTAATAACTTGATATTTTATGTTACAATTTTATTGAGGTTTGATTAAACAAAGAGGGATAATTATTTGAAACTGAAATAATCTGCATCCATCAAAATTTCAAATCAGTGTCTTTTCTGTGTACGCCTGATATTCAGAAGACGATATCCCGCTCGACAGTGCAGTAAATCAGGTTGCCTATAGAGATGACGACAAAACCCCCACTTCTCTTCTACCAACATATCCGGATTCGTAACATTTTGCTGATATTGAAATATTTATATTCTTAAAAAAAAAAACTATTACGGAACTTTTTTGTGTAAAATATTATTTTTGACTGCATGTTATAATTTTAAGGGCAATTTTTACCTAAAGCTTTCATTTTTCATCAATTATTTTATAAATTTTATCATGAATTGATTTTTGTTCTGTTGGTAAATGCGCAGACTTTGAAAATATGGCAGCGCGCAGGAGTAGCGGCTACCCGACGCGAGTGCGTCGCTTCGATCGCCATATTCAACGCCCTCAGCTTGTGGAATTTGGAGTTACAGTTGGTGAGTTTTTTCATAGATGCTTTTGGCCCGAATCTGATGCTTTTCGCCCAATTTTTATTCTCACGCAACACACCGGCTTCTAAATTGTACGCCAGACCCGGTTTTGTTCATCGGGGGACGTTGGGTAAGGGCCCGGGGGCTGCCAAAATAGAGGCGGCGCTGGGGTCTGCCTTTAGAGGGCGTCCATCTTGCCGACAGCGCCAGCCGTGCCGATTTACAGAATTCACCCAAATAATGCCCCCTGTGCCCGAATCGCAAACCACTCAATTCTCTATTTCATGCCGACAGATCGCGTGCCGCCCCCGGGGGCCGGTCGCGGCCCAAAAGTCCGCCGATCTCACTTTGGGGTCCCCAACGGCCTTTGGCTACCGATTTACACGGGATAGAATGCGAGGCAGGTCATCTAGACCCTGGCTCAGGTTTAACCGCCTCCAACTCCTTCTTGCCCCCAAACTGCCGCCCCCGTGCTCTTGGGGTCTTTTCGACAGAGTCCCCAATAAAAATATTCGACCCAAATTTATCTATAGTTTCGCCAAGATGGCGGATCGGCCGATGATCGGGGGCAGTGAGGGGGCCGTCCCGCCTCCGAATCTGCCCCCGGGTCTTTCGATTGATTAAAAATTAATTGAAATAAATTCCGGGCCAAAAATTTGACTCTGGTTAAAAATAAATTTTATTTTGCCTTTCCAAGATTTTGGCGGGAGGGAGGGGGCTTAGAATGCTATTTTAAATTTCAACGACTGCAAGCTTTATTGGGTCAATATTGGTGCTACACTCGCTTTTGTTTATGATTGGATTGATTTACTTATTAATTCGTTAAACTTACTATAGCAATTGGCCTGAAATTTACCCGGCTACTATTGAGTGTAAATTTGATTTTAAATACTTTCCGACCATAAATAATATATATGTACACTGCTGTAATATTCATAACTGATAATGAGTTTCCGGTGTATTTATTTTACTTGTAAATTGCAGCAATATAAAGTGAGGTTATTCATAATGATCAAAATGTATAAATTTTTAATATAAAACCATTTTATAAATATTCTTAAAGGGCGTTTTGCAGTAATCATAAAAAATGAGTTCCAATAAAGTCGTTTAATTAAAGAAAACATTAATTGATTAGGATTAGTTGAAAAAAATCCCTTTCTTTTTTATTTCAGATCAGAAATTCTTTAGGGCCATTGAGCCATGAGTGCCGAGGTGGTAAAGAAAAAAGAAGGTAATTGTTATACAATAAATTGAAATACTTAAATAGATATAATATTATCAATTAAATTTAAAATTTCTAGCTGAGGCTAATGTGAAGCTGGAAGGCCAAGATGGGGAGACCATCACTGACATCCAAAATTATTTGGAAACCTTTAACAAGGAAATACAAGGTATAACTAAGAAGCATTATTACTTTAAATGAGTTATTGAATTAAGGGGCCAATGAGATTAAATTGAAAAATTAATTTTTTAGATGGCACTCAAGTCAATGCTCAGGCTGCGACAGAGGGAGGCTTTTTCATTGACCAGTCAGGAAATAGCCACTACTTTTACACATCAGCCAATGGGGAACAACAGCAAGTTATGACTGTCGTTGCTGGTAAGGAAATGTTTGTAAATTATTAAATTGCTGGACTTATAAATTTTCTCCAGCTGACGGAGAGGATGGTCAAGGTGAGAGCATTGCCATATCCATTCCCGCCTCAATTGAGGAGGGAGGGGAAGCTAATTCTGGAGAGGCCACATACATCACAATGCCAAGGGCTGATGGCCAGGATGGCACCATTGCCATGGAGACTACAGAAGATGTAAATATTTTAAAAATAAATGTGAACATCATTTGAAAAACTGTTTTCAGGTCATATTGAATGCTGGTGACGGATACCAAACAGTCACAATTGTACCAAGTGAAACAGGATCTGGGGAGGTCAGTTATGTGCTTATTGTGCAACAACCGGAGGATGGAAAGGACAAGGACAGCGAAGATGCTGATTTAAGTAACGTCTATGATTTTGATGAGGGTGAAGAAGGAGCCCCTGCTGTAAGTTGAAATTTGATAAATTCTTCATTGGATATCAATTGAAATTGACAGGAATCGGGAGAGGATGAGGACAAGACCAAGATCATCAAAATCGTGCCAAAGAAGAGTCAAACAGTGACCCAAGCACACATGTGCAACTACTGTAATTACACCAGTCCGAAGCGCTATCTGCTTTCGAGACACATGAAGTCTCACTCTGAGGAGCGGCCTCACAAGTGCAGTGTCTGCGAAAGAGGTTTCAAGACTCTGGCCTCATTGCAGAATCATGTGAACACTCACACCGGCACCAAACCACACCGGTGCAAGTTTTGTGACAGTGCCTTCACCACCTCAGGTCTGTTCCAAAAGAACGTTAAAATTTTCAGACAGTTATTAGAATTTTGACTTCAGGTGAATTGGTTAGACACGTCAGGTACAAGCACACACATGAGAAGCCTCACCACTGCACTGAGTGCGACTACTCCAGTGTGGAGCTTAGCAAGCTGAAGCGTCACATGAGGTGCCACACTGGAGAGCGACCGTATCAGGTAATTAAATTAAACATTCAAAATTTCAATTTTTGCCAATTTTTATGTCTTACTGTTATTTCAGTGTCCACACTGTACATACGCCAGTCCAGACACCTTCAAGCTGAAACGCCACTTGCGAATCCACACTGGAGAAAAGCCATACGAGTGTGACGTGTGCCACGCCCGCTTCACCCAGAGCAACAGCCTTAAGGCACACAGACTCATTCACACGGCTGGAGACAAGCCCGTGTTTCAGTGCGAGTTGTGTCCAACCACTTGCGGTCGCAAAACCGACCTCAGGATTCACGTCCAAAAGCTGCACACTTCTGACAAGCCTCTGAAGTGCAAGCGCTGCGGAAAGTCTTACCCTGATAGATACACCTTCAAGGTGAGCATGCAGTTTGAAAATTTAATGAAGTTATTAATTTATCAAATATTAGGTTCACAACAAAACCCATGAAGGGGAGAAGTGCTTTAAGTGCGACTTGTGTCCGTACGCCTCTATTTCTCAAAGACATCTGGAGTCTCACATGCTTATACACACTGACCAAAAGCCCTACCAGTGTGACCAATGCGATCAGGTATGACATTCGACCTGGAATTCTTTTTCTCATTACTAATGGACCTTCATTTTTGGCCCTTAGGCCTTCCGCCAGAAGCAGTTGCTAAAACGCCACCAGAATTTGTACCACAACCCCAACTATGTACCGCCAACTCCCAAAGAGAAGACCCACGAGTGTCCGGAGTGTGGCCGTGCATTCAGGCACAAAGGGAACCTTATCAGACATATGGCCGTCCACGACCCTGAGTCCTCCGCACAGGAGAAGGCACTCGCTCTCAAGTTGGGTAGACAAAAGAAAATCCAGGTGAGATCAAAATCTTAAGTGATTAACTGTATTATTATTTTTATTTTGAATGTGCCTTTTACAGATTATCGATGGACAGCAAGTCGAGGTCATGCCCACTGAAAGTGATGAGGAAGAGGAGGACGAAGATGAGGAGGATGAGGATGGAGATGTCATGGCTGTCGAGGGACAGGACGGCCAGCAATATGTTGTACTTGAAGTCATCCAGTTGCAAGATGGAAGCGACGCAATGGCAGTAGTCGATGAAAACATTGTTGTCTCTGGACCAGAGGCCACAGAAACTCTCACAACTTCAATTGAAGGCACCTCTGATGGCTCTGCAGGTACAAACTATTTTCAAATTTTGAAGTCTCAAACTTTGTTAATGTCATAATATCTTTTCTCAGGAGAGCCGAGAATTATTCAGACACTGAAAACAAGAAAGTTGACGAAGAGGGATGCCCAAGCCATCAAGAAAAAGCTAGAAACCCAGAAAGACATGGAAAACTGCTTTGGATTTGATGTAAGTTTTTTGTCCAATTTAAAATTGAAGCAAATTTTATTTTCTGAAATAATATTAGGACGATGACGAGGATGAAGAAGAAGAGTCAACAGGCGATTTGGAGTCCAAAGAGTCTTTGAAACTTTTAGAAACCATCAATGAGTAAAATCACAGAGACATTTTATTGTGTATATCTTTGGATTATTGCCTAGTGTTAGTTGTAAGCGATCTCTTTTGTAAAAAGTCTTCACAAGGATGATTTGGTGTGATCACACATGATATGAGTTTTTGTCTTATTCTGCATTATTGCTTTTAAACCACAAATCAATCACCTGTAAATGTACACTTCAGATGTCTGAATAAATTTTATTCAACCAAAGTAGATTGGAATTTCATTTGAAAGTTGAATTTCTACTTCTCAAAATTTATTATTATTAGCCTGCTCTGATCAAAATCGGCGGTATGAATTATTTATCAAATCAATCTTACCACAAATCGTGTCAATCTTAATATTAAATAATTTAAAGAGTAAAATCTGCGAGGGAGTGCGCGAGCGCAGCGCACCAGGTTTTCCCGTGTAATTGACAGGGATACGCGCGACGGCGGCAGCCAGAGCACACGGCGCGGTCCTCATATCAGTCGGATCGATCGCGTCGGCGCTTCTCTCTGGTCGCTCGGCCGACCCATCTATCTCTATCTGCTCCAGAGCAGGAGGGCGGCAGACGAGATGTCATCACAGGAGGAAGAGGAGGCGCCCGGCGGCACCGGAGATACCGATTCGGAAGAGTCCGAAGGCCTGGAACCGCCGCCACGGCCGCCGCCCTTCAGCATCAGCAAGAGCTGGCTACAGGAGGTGTTGGGTGCCGCTCTCGCGCCGGGCCGGCCCTTTGAGGTGGTGCACTTTGCGGCCAAGTCCGGCAGCGAGCCGCTCGAGGGGCCGCCACCGCCCCCGGGAGTCGTCGGAGACTCTGCCTTGAGTGAAGTGCTCTCGCTGCACGTGCAGTACACCGCCGCGGGGCCACGGGGTCAAACGAGCTCCGGAGCGGTGCACCTGGTGCTCAAATTGCCCCCCAGAGATCCTGTCAGCAGATTCTTCGTCTCCGAAGCACAGTTTGACCTGAGGGAGATCAATTTTTATACCCAGGTAAAAATGTGCTCAACAATTTTATATCTTTCTCATTGAACATATAATAATGGTAATAATGTATTTCAAATTAAAATCATATTTTTATATTTTTTATGCACATATTTAGTTAAAAATATTTTAAATCCATTAAATATAATTTTTTTCTAAAATTAATATTCTAATTTAATATTTATAATATATAGTTTGGTTTATTGAATACTAATTAATGTTTAATAAAATAAATTTCAAATAAATATTTGTATATTTATTTTCATTTTCATAAATTTGTTATGTTTTCCGATGTTTTCTTCATTTTTGAGATTTTTTCATATAGAAAAATATTTTTTGGATTTTTTTATTCACTTAATAATAACAATATTTAAATCGACAGGTTGTGCCCGACTTGTTAGCCGCCGGCGGTGACACCCTTGAGTCGAACTGGTTGCCTATTCCACATTGCCTGCATGCCACCTACCGCACTTCACCGCACCACTCGGTGCTCGTGCTGGAGAACCTAAAAGCCGAGGGCTACCGGAGCGCCGATTTCGCCGAGGGACTCACTCTGGATCAAGCTAAAGCCGCTCTGGAGGCACTGGCGCGGATGCACTCGCTCTCGCTCGTCCTAAAGGTATATTATTAATCCAGCATCGATCGGTCTGCAACAAGCAACACCGAAAATAAATATTCTATAACCGTGAAAATTGATTGATATTGATGTATAGGTGCGTGAGGGCTCGGATTTGCAGCAGCGCTACCCTTTCTTGTTCAAAACTGCGGCCGCCACCGACTCTTATCAGCAACTCGTGGAAAGAGGGTTGCCGCAGCTGGCTCGCTTTTTGCAACGACAGGCGGATGAGCATCCGGAACAAGGTTATGATAATAATAAAATTAAAACATTAATCAGTTTTCTTTAAAACTCTTTATGGGTATTTTAAAAGTTGATTAATTTAAAATTGTTTTTACAAGTTTTCAGTTATTTTGAATACACTATCAGTTTCAGCTTTATTTTATGATTTTCATGGCTAAAAAGGAGAATTAAAAAAAAAATTGCACAAATTTTTTTAATATAATTAACATGCTTTTATGCTAAATATTAGATCCTATTTCTCCTTGATCTCCCCATTTTTCCTGTATTTTTTTCCTATTTCTTTTACTAAATTCTATTAAACTGATATAGCTAATTTTACTTTTGAACCCGTTTTTTATTACTAATTTCTTTTACAGTTTCTGAATTTTCCTTGCAGTGTTAACAAAATTAAAATGATTAAAACCTGTGATTTGATATTCCCAGAGGACTTCACGCACATCTTGGAGGCGCTGTCGGCCCTGCGTCCCAGGACACGCAGCGTGATCGCGTCGCTTCTGGCGCCGCGCGAGCCGCTGGCGCTGATCACGCACACAGACTTCTGGTGCAGCAACCTGCTGTTCCGCGACTCGGACGACGGTCGACTGCAGTGCGCGGTGCTCGACTGGCAGATGGTGGCCTATTCGCACCCGGCCAACGACCTGGCGCTGCTGCTGGTCAGCTCGCTGGACGCGGTGCCGCGGCGTCAGCACGCGCTCGAGCTGCTCGACTGGTACCTGGCCAGTCTGGAGCGTCTTTGCGCGCCCCTTGGCGTCTCCATCGACGCCCTCGGCTACACCAACCAGATGCTGCACGCCGATTTCAAGCGCTCGCAGCTGCTTGCGCTGCTGCTCTGCGTCGGCTCGGTCGACGTCGCCCTTGGAGATGAACGCACCGAACGCCGCCTGCTGCACGTCCTGCGCGATCTTTATGAGGAGGGCGTGCTCACGGATGTCGTCGGCCAGGACGAGTGAGACACACACTTGAGTACAGGGTTTTGATACATTTTTTGCGGGAGGCTTGAGGAGAGAGAGCAGGGAAAAGGTCTCAATCAGGGTCTGCCACGGGCTTTCAATCTAGGCAGCTATTGATGGTAAAATTTTTGACCCAATCTTTTTGCATGGCGGAGTCAATATTATTATAATTGTTACACACTTTTTTTTTTATCCCTGCATTCCAGAAATCAAAGTTTGTAGTATTAAATAATAGAAAAAAATATTTAAGCTAATTATTAAAAAGAATTATTTTAATTTTAAGTTGGCAAAAAAGCTTTGATAAGGGTGGTTAATTCCATTCAATGATTTTTTTGCAGTAATTTCCTTGACGCGTTTAATTTATAAGTAAAAATACGCTCAATATAATATTTGTCATTTGGTTTGTAAGCGCTTGGAATTCATTATTTACCTCATTGTGATATAGAAAATTGTGGTCCGAGACCAAGTATAAAGAAATATTTATATCTTGTTTTCTTTTAGAAGTATAATTTTATTCAATTGTTTATAAAATTTTAATATTTATTTGCCAGAAAATTTATTATTTAAATTACACCAAAAGGGTCGAATTTTTTCGAGGTCCCCACTTGTGATGTGCGTATCTCAGCCACATAGCCGATTGAATGCAGACACAAATTATAATTGTTAATATTAAGAAAAGCGCTAAAATTTTCGCTGATGTTGATATTTATTGTTTTTCCTCTTTGCGACTTGTAGAAATACGCTTAACGCACACAGCCCTTATTGCTTCAATTTGAAAGGGTAGGTTGACAATCTATTCCTTGTAACAATAAGAGAAAGATTCTAGACAAGATACTGTGTTAAAATTGAAAGTATAATCAGTGTGTCTGAAGAAACGAAATTCAATTTCCCAACGAGCCTGCTGCTTCTTCAGGCACTCATTTGCTGTTCAGAGGGTTTAGTGAAAAAAATATAGGTGGATGTTGCTGAATTATTTAATAAGGCTTGAAACAAAATTACTGTAAATATCGTCTCTTTTCGGAAACTGTTTCCTCTTTGCCCTATTATACGAAAGTGGTCTTCCCTCACTTGTTATGTGTTAAATTTAAGCATTTCTTGTGTCTCTTCTTCGAGTCCAATAAGTAAAAAGAAATATCAATTTAGATGTTTATCACGGGAAAAATTGTAAAATATTATATTGAATTGCGTGCACGTCAACACTTTTCTAATATTTGGTTGCGCCAGAAATGTGATAGGGAGTCCGAGCTCATTTGTGGAGAGTCCGCAGGGAGGCATTTGAGATTGCAATTGATGAACACTGTGCCAATTCCTATTTTGTATAGCCCCGGATGGAATTGATAAATAGAGTTGAAACGCAACCAGAGGGAGAAATAAAATTTAGAAAGCGGATAAAAAGAAATAATTTTTCTTGCAGACTCGATTAAGGTGGAAATCAACCTTTTTGATAATTGGGAATTTTAGAATAAAATTCCTGGTCGGTTTCAAAAAGTGAGAAAATCGTTCTTTCTTTGATTTAAAATACCACCCCTGGCATTTCTTTTCATGAAAGCCAAGTGCTGCGATGTGGAATTGTGGATGCGGTGGCGAGTGCTGTGAGCGGAACGTTTACCCGCAAGGAGATAGAGGCGCACCCAAGATCAATACACTCGGCGAACGTACACATATACTCTTGTGGCGAATATTTCTCAATGTCAGACTCTCGACGGGAGCATGCGGTGTGTTGAATAAGGGCGGGTATTTGCAAGCACACGGTTTAAAAGAGGCCAGCGGGAAAGGGTTGTTTGATGCAGTTGCTGCGGGAAAACACTGAAACGGTGTGTCTAGTTGTACGCAAAAGCGTTTAATACAAAATCCTTTTTTGCGGGACAGCAACGTGCGAGCCTTAAATCAAGCAATAAAAATATCATGAAGCCACAATAATATAGCTATTGTTGGAAATTTAATTTAAATTAATAATAATATATTTTTAAATAAAAAATTCATCTTTTTTATTGTTAAGAATTTGTGACTAAATATGTCACACACGTTTTTGAGACGACGAGAGGACTGAAGATTGCACGCGAATAAATACTTAAAAAATAATCTGACAAAAGGCTCCAGGTAAGACTGCGAAAGAGATCCAGCTCTTAAATGATTCACTGCCAAGTTTACGAGCGAGCCCTCTCTGAAACGACACTGCTGATGGACGGCATTTTTGAGGCGGGCTGAGATTCATAGGGCAGCGCGGCCAACTTGAGGGGCAGGGGGCGTTTGTAAAGGCGCCAGGCAATCACCATCAGCACAACCAATTCCGTCATCATCAAAGTGTTGTACACCACTGAAAAAAGCAGACGATTAAATTAATTGAAGTTAAAAAATAATAAGGATAACCATAAGAATGTATTTTTCTAGTTTTTATTGATAAAAATGACAATGATCAAATCTTTTAAGAAAAATAATAGATAATTTAAAATAAAAGTTAAGGTAATCAAGGATAAATATTCATTATTTAAGTTTATTGTTCAGTTGCGGCACACCAGGAGCGTTCAATACAATAAACTATAAAAAATAAAAATATAATAAAGAAAAAATAAGTAAAAATTGATATAAAAAGAAATCTACTAACAAAATTAATGAAGGACAAGAATGAAGAGCTACTAATAATAAAAATCTAGAATTTAAATAAATTTTCTTACAATTTGCGAAAACTGTAGGCGGAAGAGCGGGGTGGCAGGGGAAGAGGCCGGCCCAGCCAGCAATCCTAATTCCCAGTCCTTGTAGCTTTGAGAAAATGAGGACAAACTGCAGCGACAGCATTTTATGCTTGACGAAAAACCCTTCCAAAAGCCCAGGTCCCAAAAACCGGGCAAACATACCTGCAAAAATATTTGTTAATAAATTTAAAAAACAATGATAATTTTCAAATAATAAATAATAGTAAGTCACTTACCCATTCCCCACAGTGCAGTGAATATTGAGACAAACATGACCGGGGCTGCATACAATGCGTGCTGAGCTGAGGCGACTGACAAACTCTCGGCAGCCATAACCAAGAGCACCAGGTAAATCAGACCTTGGACCACAGGCAGTTGCAGCACCAGACATCGCATAAATGCCAAAGTGCGACTGTAAATAAGATTTTAATAATTAAATATCAATTTTTTTGTAGGAAAATATTTTTAATTATTGCTTTAAAACTAGCAAATATTGTTTCATAAAAACTTTTCAAGCTTGAACAAAGATTATAAAAGAAAAATTAAATATTCAAAACATTGCAGAGAAATTTGACCAAAATAGGGCTTCTTAATTATTCCATTCATCAAAATGAGAAAAAAATAGAAAAATAAATCTTTTAGCTTTAAATTCACAGTACCAAATTTCTTTTGTTTTTTTTTAACTTCTTTTCATTTATTTATTAATTTTTTTTTATTAAAAATTTTTATTTTTGTTCTTTATGCACCTGTTGATGGTTACTTTTTGCGGCATGCAGCACCAGAAGCAGCACAGCGGCGGCACCCTGGGAGTCAGGGTGAGACTTTGTGGCTTTTGAGAGCTGAGGATGGCCGTTTTGCCGCCGCTGTAGTCCAGCAGCAGGCAAAAGAAATTGTACCAGGAGGTGGTGAAGGCCAGTTGCGTGGTCGCCTCAGCCACCAACTGGGCGCGCGGGCAGATCGACGCGATCATCACAGCCACGGCCACCATCTAAAAAATCGAGAACTTTCGTTGGAAAAAAACTGAACTTGTTATGGTCAAGGTCTCACTTACTGGGTAGACCGAGATGACGAGGATGGTGCTCGACTTGGCTCTGGGCAGGCCGTGACGCAAGATGTGAGCCACGCAGTCTCCGAATAGGACGAAAATGCAAACTGTCGCCACCAAACCCAGGCAAAGTATCAAAACTCCTCCAAAATCTATTGCTGAAAGGAAAAAAGAAGAGAAACGTCAAATATTTTTTTTTTTTTTTCTTCTTATGCCGAAGTGGTGATTGTTAAGTCATTCTTCTTTCTAGCTATCCAATACAAGTGGGCTTCTTTTTCTATCCTGCTCCAATGGTCAGGTATCGCGTCTAGATCTTCTTTGAGTTTAGGGCACCTAAAGAGGTGCTCCTTGTCTTGCTTTTCTAATCTACAAAGTTTGCATGTTGCTGGCTCTTTTACGATGTTAAAACGATTTAGGTGGTGCTGCAGGACATCATGTCCAGTATTTAGTCTGAAGTTTGCTGTCGAGACTTTTCTGCTCCATTTTCTGTCTGGTCCTTTTTGGGCAGCATTCCACCAGGTCAAATATAACATTCAGCACAAATAATTATTTAAAGAAAGAGTTGACTAATGTATTATCACATTTTTTATCATGAAAACGGTATTATAATGCATATGCATATTTTAAAGTAGAATAAAACTCAACCAATGACTCCTAGTAGCCTTCAAAAACATTTACATGCGCATTTACGTCTCCCGAAAGAGCCTCAAATATTTAAAAGCAAAAAAAAAAAATAGAACTTTTAGAGCAAACATAGGCATCTATAAATATTTGAATTGCATCAGGAAGAGTTCAGTTCAACGAATGTAAAACTAATAAGTAAAAATTAAATAAATTAAGATTTTAAAAATTGAAGCTCATTTAAAAATTAATTAATGTGAGGATGCTTTTTTTAACCAAATCATATTTTTGCAGATATTTGCAATGAGACTTCATAGAGACCTTTATATAGAGCACAAGGAAAAAAAGTAATAATAAACAACTTTTTCCATCCTAGCCAATGTTAAGTTAATATTAAAATAGCTTTACATCGTTTCAATAAAATGTTTCCGTAATAGATATTTAATCATTCAAATTAAATTCATTCTAATTTTGTCTAGTTCTAATTACTAACTTTTGTGCAAAGGCACCTTGTTGCTAATGAAATTCTTTATATTATGTGACTATGTGTTTAGTTACATGTTTGCGGTCTCATGTCATAAATTAGTTTCTGCGGCCGAAAGCAAACGCTGTTTGTCTTGGGGAAAGTGAGAACACAATATGAGCTCCTCTTTCTAAAATTGGCGATTGATATAATGAGCAGACTTTTGCAGACTCCTCAGCGCGCAAAAAAAAGAGTTTCCTTTTTATATTTTTACACTCGACTTCCTCAACGAAGAAAAGCTTTGCGGAGTGCAGGTGCAATGCGCGAGAACCGTGACAAAAGTTTTGAATAAAATGCCAATTTCAAAAACAGAGATTAGGCAAGCGCGAGCAGTGAGAACACTTTTTGTTGGCAAACAAAAGGAGGCAAAAAGCGACGGATAAATCTCTAATTCTTTTCAATCATATTATACCTTATGTAGTTTTTGCTTTTTTTGCCTGGAGAGATAACTTATTTTGGGGAATTCACACCTTGTAAAAAGCAGGTTTGAAGCAAAGGCAGATCATTTTTCCTTCCTGGTCGTTCAGATAGACGAGAGGACAGAAAAGACAACAGATCCTTTTAGCACGTCAGAAATGCTTAGCGAGAATTGCGATTATGTGGTTTGGAGAACCCGATCTTGCAGGTTGGGAATTCCCAGACAAATAAATATTGCAGGTAGTTCCCTTTGCCAATTACCAAGGTGAATTCCATTGAGGCTTGGGATTTTTTTAAATTTACAAACTGGTTTCTCTGTATCTCATCACACACAAAAATAGCAATCAATTGAAAACGGAATTTCTATATAATGGGGGTACTTGAACATAAAGGGATTGCAATCATAATTGAAAAATATATAAACAGGATGATATAGAAAAGTTTGCAGGTAAAATTTCTTCAAGATTAATTTTTGAAAATATGTATCAGGAATTAAGAAATTTGACGTTTGATAAGTATAAGTGAATTTTAGAAGCTTTAATTAATAATTTGATGTAGGTGATTTTGTTATTTAAATTTTAAAACACAAGTACAGATAATGGATATAAGATAAAATATTTATCAAGCATCTGCAATTTTTCTGTTTTTATTTGTTCAGTTAAAAATAAGATCATCAATTTTTATTACGACTAATTTAAAGGGTTTGTTACGAGCGATGAAAGGGAAGAAGAAGTCAAATAACAAGTTCAAGGCCCTAATTCAGTTCTAAATTGCAGAGATTTTTTACGATCTCTTTGTTGGTTACGCCTGGATGGACCGCCCTGACTATCTTTGCTCTCCAGAGCGCGCACTGTATCCTGCTTCCCACGGAGCGATAAAGCCAATAAAAGGTTTTACCAATGAAAAAAAAGGGAAAAAAAATACTTTTTGCTGCCTTGCAAAATGTTCCTCTTTCTTGATTCTTCATGGTCGTTCCAATCAACCGGGAAAACGCAGTGTATTTTTCTTATCTGGCATCATCAAACAGGAAATAATACAAAATAAAAAGAATAAATTTTATCTTTAACACCTTTTCAAAACTCTTAATAGGAAAAAATTTGATAATATTTTCATAATAAATTAATAAAATATTTGGACATAATCTCTATATCTAAGTAATTCAAAATAATTAATTAAAAAATTAAACACTGCTCTTTTTAATTCATTTTTTTTTAACATAAAAAACATGTGAACAACGCAAGATCACAAAGAGCTTGGTGTTTATTTATGAACTTTCCACTTTTCTGTATTAATCTTTGATATTGACATTGATGGTGGCTTTAAAAAGATTAGACGGAATTTGATGACGTAATATTGACCACAAGTTCATTCACCAGAAATTAATCATACTAGAAATTTGATATGTCCAGATTTATCTTTAAAAGTTATTCAATTCAATTGGAGCCAAAATTAAAATTCATAATTCCATGAATAATATTTTAAGATAAAAAAGGAAGGTAATTGGCACGTCAATCTTCTTTAAATCATTTCACTAACGAAGTTAAAAAATAATGAATTCTTGCTTGACCAGTTTTTTTTTTCAAGACTTTCATACCATCGCTCAAATTGCTATGGTTGGTGCTTTTAAAGTGAAAAGAGTGAGCTGCTGTAAATAATTTTCTGCCCTTTCCTCAAGGTTTTAAGTAATTGCCCAAGTCTTAATATGCGTCTGATTTATTTTAAACGTTGATGAGAATATCAAGAAAGAGCAAAGCGTGAAGAATGCAAAAAGGAAAGGAAGGACATGCATAGACATTTACTTCAAATCAAGGAACGTTAAATTTTTAGTTTAATGACCACTTGAAAAAGATAAAAAGCAAACGAACTAGGTTATCAAAAGGGCACTTTTTCCACTTTCACGAAGTTTTAACCAAAGTTTCCTTTTTTCTTTTCATTTCACCACTTTTTTTTAAATAATTATAAATTTTTTATTATAATGTACATATGTTATACTATTTAAGAGATTTTAAATAATATTTTTCATATTTTAATAAAAAATGAGTTACAAATAATCTATTTAATTATTAGTTTAAAAAAATTGAAATGAAAATATACCTCAAATATTATTTTATTCCTAAACACGAGCATATTTTATATTTAACTATATTTTACATTTACAGTAATATTGAGAAAGCGGTAATAAACAGTGAAGCTGTGAAGGTATTGTTGAAAGCCATTGAAATAATACGGAAATATATTCTTAATTTGTGCGTTAAATTTTGAGTGTGTTAAACAAAATTAAATTAAACGGAAATTTTAAAAACAATAAATTAGAGATAGAATTAAATTGAAAAAATTTATACCTGACAAGTACTCTGGTACTGAGGGTATCATGTCTGGTATGCATTCTCCGGAGGCGAGGAGGATGGTGGCATTCGAGGCGTTCGCCGCCAAGACATTGGGGCCAGCGACGTACGGAATTGGTGTGTCGGACAGGACAGCCCCTAGCAGCCCTGACATGGGGCTCGATTCCAAAGGGGCAGTCATTGTCTCCCTTTGAAAAATCGCTTCAACTAAGCCGACCCCTCGCACTCCGTGTCTCTTCGTCAGAGAGACCTCTCTCGTAGATCTCGACCGTTCGACTATTCACGCACCACTCAGAAAACCTGCTCCTTCGGCAGTAGAAAGAATCGCGCGCGGTGGAGGGGCATCTCTATCTCTGAATCATGTACAAAAACGACAGAGAAGGGGCTTTCTTTTTCTGCTTCCTCCGTCTGCTGCAGCAGGAGGTGAAAGTATTTAGGAGGCGCCTATGCTAGAAGTGTTTTCCTCATTTTGGGTCACGCCGTCACGCGAAGGTCAACTCGTCGCTTAATTTAGGCTTTAATTAAAAGCCAACCTAGACCGCTCTTGACATATTCACACCAAAGAGTATACAAAGTGACACATGGGAAAATCATTTGTGCACAAATTATTTAATAAATTACCGTTTAAGATAGGATAATAATTTAAATTCTCTCAAAAAACCTGTTTAAATTTCATTATATTTGACAATTATATATTTGTTCACTCTCTCTTCATTAATTTTTGTTTGACTAGGGTTATTAAAAAAAATTTAAAGAAGCTACAAGCTATAACTATTGGGTATTATTTCATTTAATCTTTTATAGAGCATAATTATATAGCTATCATAATATGACTGAATATGATAATATCATATACCATTCAATACAACAGCATGCGAAATCACATAATATTCTAAACTGATTATTGTGAGGGGATTGATGGGAATTAAATACATTTTTAATACCTTACACAATGAAAAAAAAATTAGGCAGTCTTCTCAAAAGTTATTAATTTTGGAAGCAAGCTTGGGTATTACATTTTGAATTAAAAAGTTTATTTATAAATCAGGAAAATAAGTTGTGGCACTGAAGTTGGAAAAGGCCAAAATGACTAATCCTCTCCGAAAGGATTTAAATTTTTGTCATAATCATCGTCCTCCTCCTCCTCGAATGGGTTAACGTGCTTGGGAGTGGATTTCTTTGGGGTTGTTTCTCTTGGGGCCGCATCTTCGTCAGCAAACGGATTCTTGGCATCATCATATTCAGGCGAATCGTCAAAGGGGTTTTTTGCTGGTGGCTGAGGACTTCTGTTGGCTTGTCTGGTTGCCGGCTGTGGTGATTTCTTAGCTGGCGGGCCCGACCAAGACTCAAAACGCTGAGACGAAGACAAAACAGGTGCCTCAGGAGCGGATTTCTTTGACGACCAAGAGTCATAGCGATCCGACGAAGAGCAAACAATATTCTTTGGTGCTAAAAAAAATATTTTCCATCATACAATTTTTTTTCTTAGCGACTCATTCAAAACTACCTCCTCCTCCTTCCATCAAGCGAAGTCGCGCCTCAGTTCCCAGATTGTCCTTCGGCGGCTCAGAAAACTTCTTTTGTGTTACACCTTGGAAAGCAAAAATATAATTGGTTAAATTATTTGATGATGTGAGGTTAAAATATTTACTTGGAGCGTCAGCAGAGGGAGGTGGATTGAAAACTCCACGGCCAAAGTAATCTGCCACTAAGGAAAATCCATCTTGGGCCCGTTCGAGCTGACTGTGGAATGACTCATGAAGAGATCGAGATTGATCCTAAGGAAGAATAATAAGATTATTTTGAAAAATAAAGAAAAAAATCCAAACCTGGGATTTTATGATATCCATGATTTTCTTATTGTTAGGCAAGCACACAGGACACTCGTGGTCACTTTCGGAGCAACTCTCAAAACAACTGTAAAGAAACAATTTATCCAATTTATTAACCAACTATGTGTTCATGGATTATACGAACTGTTGGTGGAAAGAGTGTTGACATAGGAAGTGAACGGAGGGCAGTTCCAGGTGCTGGTTACAAGCGTTACACAAATTAGCTCTGAATATTACATTGCTCGTTTCTATTGCCCTGATCTGCTGCCGAATGGCTTTTGTTTCGTTTGTGTATTTCTCGATCAGGGCCTCCTCCTGTTTGGTCAATTCTTCTTCAGCTTTTAACACTCCAACAAGGTAGGAACGGACGTCACCCAAAAGAGCATTGCTCTCGGCTAGAGCATCGATGACCATCAATGGGGGCAGCAGACGTTCTCGCTCTAAAAAATAAAATTTATATAAAAGTAATTGCAAAATTCAAAACTACAGGCTTTGGTTTTTTTTCCAGACATATAATAAAATATTCCTATGAATATTTAATTCGTTTACCAATGACTTGTAAAACTTCTGACAGAACTTTTGATGGTGTGCTGTGGTCTTTAGTGCAGGTCGACAAGGCTTCTATCCAAAGACCAGGATCTTGGGCACCGAATTTTCGACAGCACGCCAACAGACCTTCGTAGTCTTTATTAACCGAGTGGTAGCGCATCATGTGCTGATACATTTTAGCCTCCTCGTACAAAAAGAGCAAACCTTGATTTTTATGAAATGATAAAATAAAGCATATTTTTCTAATTTTATATATCTCACCTTGTGAAAAATGATGCAGTTGGCAGAGAATCAGAGTTTGCGCCCGGTCGTAGTTGGCGTCGGAATTCTGCAGCAGGCGCAGCACCTTTTCTCCAAGCTGCTTTTTCTCATCTCCTTTTGATGCTTCCCACACTTGCAGGTAATGCTCAAGCAGCGTGTTGTAAACCAGACTACTTGCGTGGGGGTCCACTTGAACCATATTCTCTAGAAACTGTATCAGCATCTCAGAGTTTTCCAAGAACAAGTGGATAAAATCTTCTGGGCAGGCTTTGTCTTCTTCGTGTCTGTCACTTTCACGCTAAAAAGATTAATTGAATGTTTAAAAAAACTCAGAATTTTTCAGCTGCAAACAGTAAAGTTACTTTCATAATAAATTATAATAAGTAATTTCATCAATGATACGTTATTTAAAAAAAAAAAAAAGGAAAAAAGCCTGAAACAAAAGGGAAAACATATTTTTATTTGAGCTTGACTTACTCGATCAATTGCAGGCTGACCATTTGGTCTGAAATCTGTGCACAGTCTCTTCAAAAAGTCGGTTGTTTCTTGAGGTACATGCTGAATAAGCAAAGAGCCGTAGCGCTTAATATTGGCTTCAGCCTCGTTGAAAGGAAGCTGCGCCAGGTATTCAAGGACCTTGTCGTACTCGTGCTTGTCCTCCAGCTGGATCTTCAGGTACCATTCGTGCCTGCCATGCTTTTTGGCCAAGGTCAATGCATCTTCAGAGGACACTTGCCGACACACCTTGATGGCGGTGTCCACATCAAAGTCCAAATCTCTATCCTTAGTCTATGAAGGAAATTAATCAAAATGTCATTTTCAATCAACCTCATCAACTTGCCAGCAAAAATTCTCTGAGTTTATCAGTCCGGTTCAACTTAGTGTAGCAGTTGAGCAGCAGAGTTGTGTGGTCTTCACCGGCCAAGCCGTGCTTGTGAAGGGCTTGCAAGTAGGTGGTGAGGTGCTCGATTAGTTGCGAATCTAAATACTGATGTTACTTGGTTAAATTTTATTGTGTATATTTGTTAGCAAATGTCTCACTTTTCTGATAATGTACGAAGGTTCAAGTTTATCGATTGTCTTGATGTACTGTTCGATGGCGCCAGAGTGGTCACCTTTGTTATAAAGGTGGTCGCCAAACTGCCTGAAGATGTCACTCAAACCATCTGGACCATAATGATGGCTTTTTGCAATTCTAAAATTCCCAAAAATAAAAATAACACTCAAAAATTTGATATTTTATAAAATTTTAAAAGAAGACTAGAATTTTAATGACTTGCCTGATAGCTACGTCATAGAGATTCTTTTTGAAGAGCATTGCCAGCTTTGACTGCACATCCTTCTCCATAAGACCGAGCAAATTGTTTCCAGCTGTGAGGACAAGGAAGTAGCCCCACTCGCTCAGAACGGCTTGCACTTCACGAGCAGGCGCCGTGAAAACAAGGAATTTGTTTTGCAAGTCTAGTACGGTCACCGTCTCACTGGATAAATTTTCAATTTATTCTTATCTATTTTTATTTTAATAATATGTCATAAATTACCAAGAAATTGCATTTTCATCACTGGAACTGCCGACTGCCTTGTTCTTGTCCTCGGCAACAACCACAAGATATGTTCTGGAAATTTGCAAGAGTTTCTTTTTGCCCTCGATTGCGTAGCAAGGACCTCTGCCTTCTGTTGTGTAGCAATAAATTGCCTGTAATGTCACCACATTAGAAAAACCCATTTTGAAAATGATTTACATATTACATCTGATCGGCCAATTATAAAGTTGCACTCGGGAATGCAGTCGGTAGCAACACAGCAACTCAATTCGCAACCAGCGCTGTCCAGCTGTATCTGAAAAATTGATTTTTAAAATAAGAGAAGACTTTGAAAATTTTAACAGTTCATCATGAATTAAATGAAAATAATTATGTACATGAAATAAATAATTACTGAATAATTTCAAAATCATACTCGTTGCTCTTTATCCTTGTTGGCAATGTTGTAGAGAAGGACGCTAACCGTGGTGGCCACAAAGAGAAACGGCGCTCTGGCCGTGATGCGAAACGCCAATCCGGAGACGCTGTTGGCGCCGTCGCGGAGAACCACCTGCTTCAAAGACCTTTCTCGTCCGACTTCTCCCCTCTGCAGCAAAACCGTCCCGTCTGAGAATCCAACCGCCAGCAGATGATTTTGGTGGACAGCCAGAGCAGTGGCCGCGGCCCCCTTGGTGGCAGAATGGAGCCGCGAAGATCGAAGACATATCGGCGAGCCCTGTTTGTCCTTCTTTTCAGTGTCCCACACCTTCAGAATGGTACTTCCGCCCTCGTCCTCCTGTTTGAATTAAGGCTAAATATCTAGGAAATGTTCAATTAAAAATTATTTTACTCCGATTGTGATGAGGAGGGACGAGTTTTGAATATTGTGCACCAAACCGACGCGGCCTTCGTGCGCCCTGTAGGTGGTCGCTTCAAAGGACCTGTTGACCAGGTGGACGAAGCCATCGGAGTCTCCAAAGACCAGGTGACTGTGGCCACTGGACGAGGCGGTCACCTGAGAGCCCTGAAAAAAATTTATATTTATGGTGGAGAGAAAAAAAATATGATTTCAAACCTTAAGAGCTTCCTGGATTTTTCCCTCGTCGACGTTTTTGCTCAGATCAAAAAAGTTGAAACGCCTCCACTAGAATTTTATTAAACAATAAAAGCAATTGCAAACTTCGGATTTTTTAATATACATATAAGATATGTATTTGTATGAAAAAATTGCTTCCACAGTCAACGGTTACATAAACGTATTTATTTACATGAATTTAAAGGCAAAATTAGTTAAAACACTAGCTCACCTCCATGAAAGACATTATGGCGAATTAATTTTAAGCTCAAATTCTGGTATTTTGAAGTTACTGCCGTAGTTGTAAAAAGTAAACAAAGCCTTGTTGGTTTACGATTAAGAATTACGATATATATATTAATACGCCCTTTTCATGACTTTTGTGTTCGTTGTCAGCTGGACAACTACCAGCGCCCAGCCAAAGGAGAGCCAATGAGCGTGAAGTGGCTTTTGATTCGAAACTAGCGAACCGGGAAAGCGAACGGGTCGAAAAAAAAGAACACGTTCTACTGAACAAGGAAGTAGTTCTTAATTTTCCTTTTATTATGATAATTTTCAAAATTAAAAGAAATAAAATCTGAAGGTTACATGGTTACGAGAAGTGAACTTTGCGTGACTTTGTAAGACAAGCACTGGGCATATCTTTTCTATCATTAAAACTATATAGGTTGCTATTTTTTTTTTATAGAGCCTACTGGACCACTCATGAGTGCTCAGAATACTTGTCTTTTTAAAAACAGAAGTCACAGCAGCAGCAGTTTAATAATAAATATTAATGAATAAGAACATTGTGATGATAGCGGATAATAGAACAAAATCTAGTCATTAATGAAAGTTGTTAGATTGTCAGTTAAATAACTGGACTTCAATTTGTGACTGTGTGTGTGTGTGTGTGTGAGAGAGAGAGAGTACAAAAATATGGAGGTCAAACAGGACCTAAGGATTATCAGGAACATACATGGCAAAATCAACAAGGTAATCAAAAGAGTCTATTTGAGGCACGAAGGGAACCCTATGGTTCAAGGGTTTTGTCGGCCGGTCACATGTTTGCCACCATCTAGAATCACAATGTTCTAAGAACATGTTGGAGGTCTTCATGCTTCTCACTTTGGTGACAACTGAAAATAATCAATATTGGTATTAGCAATTAAATTATGAAACGCATGCACACATTTAAATTATAATTAGGTTTTTAAGTATCATTTAAAGTTTTGGAATAGTTTGCCAGAAGAAGAAGAAACATTCCAAAAGGTATTAATTTAAAATTTGTTCAAATGATAGCTCTTGCAGCAAAAAGATTAATTTATCAATTTAAAAAATTTAAAGGAATTCAACTTACAGACTCCGAACAATTCAAATCTAATGCCCGCCAAGTCGATCGTTGGCGGCAATGATCCACTATTGCGGATAGTATCAAAGTCTTCCTGGCACCGGGCCACGCCACGAGTGGAATAGTCAACGACTAGGAGATGAGGACTGATTAGCATTTTTTCGATCAGCGTTCCGTTGCACTATATTTAAAAAAAAACTATTAATTATCAAAGAGAGATTGGATTTGAAATCTTCTTACCTGGAAGCACCTCCTCTCATGAAACATCCTGATCCCAATCAGATGGTCAATATCAGAGCTCACCAGGTTAGGTGGCAGTGTCAAGTTGACATCCTTGACATCACAGTTCTCATTCCTGCACTCAGCTAATCTCTGAAACACGGTCTCCACCCTTATGATCTCCATAAACCACTGAGCAACAGTGTTCCAGTTGTGATCCAAAATCCTCATAAGGCTGCAAAAAATTGAAGTTATTAACAAATTACAAATTGGAAGAAAGAAGAAATATAATTCAAATTATAAAATTCTTTAATAATCTTTGCACTTACTATTTTACAATACTTTCCTGCCACTTTGATTCTATTTCAAGGCTGTAGGTGCCTCTATTAACGTTAAGCTCATACAGAAGGTCCTTCAGGGGCCCACCCTTGCAGTTTTTGAGCAACTGGTAACATGCTTTGGTGTACTGCAAATTAAGAAAAGAAAAAAATTTAATAATAATTATGTAAGTGTTTTCAAATTAAATTCCTATCTTTAACAACTATTAGCATTAGTATACCCTCCCTCATTGATTTTGATCAAAACAACCCCTATCTGAAGCACCAAATAAATAAATTTATAAAGAAATATTAAATGCAGTTAACTGACAGGAAATGTTTAAAATAATTTATTATACCTCACGGCGAGCGAGCAGAAGAAATGCGTTCAAAAAACAATTCAAGCTTGAGCATTCTTTGCTTAAGATCTCTTCACTGGGAGACAGAAGACCAGGGAGTTGAGAACATTTCACCTTAAAAAAGGTTTGCGTTCTGTCTCCAATGAGGCATTCTAAAATTAAGAAAAAACGTATTGTTGTTTAAAAATCCGTAATTAAAAATCTCATATAAACTTACTAGTACTCTTGAAGAATTTGTATTCATGGTCCAATACAGGAGGCCCAAAAACAACTAAAAAATTAATTTTATTAGCAAAAAATTGTTAAATTGAAGCCTCTATAAAAGGCATAAATTTATATTTTTGGAGCAAGTAAATTGAAGAACTTAAGTCAATAAATTCATACTGAAATTTTATACTCACTCAGACATGTTCCAAAGATTTCCGAGGGCAGAGAGTTGGGATCATTTTGATCATTTGGGACCATTTTAGGCATGAAAATTCCTCTGACATAATGTTGGACAAACCACGCAAATTTTGTATTAGTCCACTCCAGCTCCATGCGTCCTAGATTATTATTTTCGTCAAGAAATTAAATGAATATGCGATAACATAAACTATAATCTATTCACACACCATCTAGAGTGACTATATCAAACGTTGGGGTTGCTTGTTTCAATCTGTCAATGATGCGTCTGGCTTTGGCGAGATCTGTATCGAATTTCATTTGGCGCATCAGGTCTTGCAGCTCATCAAAATTTAACATAGATCTCAACGTTGGGCGTTGATGTAGCTCATTTGCCAAGTCCAGCAATGGTGTCGTCAGATTGAATCGAGACATAATTGCTGCCGACAAAGCCACACACCTTGGGTACTTTTGTTTGTAGGAAACGGCATCTCTGAAATTTTTTGAGAAATTATTTTGTGTTAATTCCCACTCGTTTTCAATCGTTAAAAAGATTTTTGGATGGCTGAATTCCAGTATGTGCCAAAAATTTGATCGCAGACTCAGCCACACCCTTACATTTAACGAGGATGAATAATATATTTAAGTTAATGCACGCACGCTATAATTATGACACATCCTAGTTTTTAAATACATTTTTCAAAGAACGAAAATTAGCTCACAGGATTTGATTAGCCATAGTAGATGGATTATTTTTCTTCTACGGTTCCTTTTCTGCTCAAAATTTTTGCTGCGATTACCCTTGTCAAAAAGCAAATCGAGCTAGGGTGGGTCCGAATATCAGAGAAACGATTCTAGAAACGATTCTTGAGAAACGTTTCTCGAGAAATGATTCTGGAGAAACGTTTCTCGAGAAACGTTTCTCGAGAAATGATTCTAGAGAAACGTTTCTCGAGAAAAGATTCTCGCGCAAAGATTCTCCAGGATCGTTTCTGCCTTTAAAACTCAACTAAAGAATCGATCCTTGAGAATCCTTGCGCGAGAATCTTTTCTCGAGAAACGTTTCTCTAGAATCATTTCTCGAGAAACGTTTCTCGAGAGACGTTTCTCCAGAATCATTTCTCGAGAAACGTTTCTCAAGAATTGTTTCTAGAATCGTTTCTCTGATATTCGGACCCACCCCTAGTGTTTTGTGTGGAGTTCTGCTTCACTTCTGCTATCCCCTTGATGCTGTAAAATAGAAGAAAGAATTATAAATTTTCCAAATTTTCATTCATCAAATCATTTCCATTGAGAATTTTGATGTGGTCTAATAATTTTCATATTAAAACGAAAAAAAACTTACCTTGTGGTTTTTAGCTCTTGGAACGAAGAGCGTTGGCAAGTATGGCATAGACAATTAGACAAAACACAACAAATTACGCAAAACTATTGTTTCAAAATGGCTTATTTACGGGCCGCTCAGGATTAAGAGCTGCAAGCGAGCCGTAGAAGCATCAAAAAAGCTAACCGGTCTGTGTAAGGAGAGTCTCCTTAGGTCTGTGCGTGTTCCAGTTTGTTTGAATTCGACCAATAAGACAATTCGACCGATTCAATCTCGTGGACAGATTTGTGGAGAATGATTGGTTCCTGTATTGCACCGAGTTCTTACGACGGTCCCTAGATGGCGTTGTTGCTCGTTGTCTCGGCGGGTGGCACAGGCGGCACAGGTCACCAGTCAAGTCACCAGTCGCTGGTGTAGTTCGTGAGTTGCTCGTGAGGTGTCCCGTCGGTCTGTCTGGCTAGAAATGCTTTTGCTTAAAAATTCGATAAAATAATTAATTGTATCACGTTTTAAATCACGTATGAAAATTTCCTCAAGGTGAGTAGAAGAATTGAGCAATATTTTTCTTTGTATGGTATGCCATTAATTAAATTCCCATGTTGAGAACTTACCGGTACTTACTATTACTATAAGGGTCTGCTGAATCAAAACTGCAACGCGCAGGGTGATTTTTAAGAAAAAAATAAATAAATGAAATAAAAATTAAAATTAGAGGGTTGTAGCAAAAGAAATTTACTTTCTATTTTTAGTAAATATTTTTGATGCCAGAGTTTTTATACTTATCAAAAAGTGGTTCTAAATTAAAATTTATTATTTTTTATTATAAATTTTATAAAAAAATTTTAACATAGGCAATCCGATCCTACGTCTTATTTTATGCCTAGAACCAAATGTTTATTTATAAAAATTTTAAGCGGCAACCAAATTAAAAAATAATTATTTGTGAAGGCCGAAAGACAATTTTTAGTAAATATTTTCCATATTTTCTAATTAAATAACACTACCAAAAATTTTCCACTAATATTTTGTTTCTAGCTATAGACGTAAAATTAGACGCGTGTTCACCTTAGCCAGGCTGCAGCAGTACCAGCAGAAGGGGAACCCCTTATTTATCAGGAAAAAAAGACATCCAAATATTATGTATATTTTTTGGTCATTTGCCTGAAAATAATTTAATGAACAATATGTTTCAATTCAAAGCATACTTATCACGATTTATCATAAATTCATTTATGTGTGTGAATAATTAAGTGGAACAATTTGTCAACAAAGTAAAGTAAAGTTTAATTCTCATTATAAATTTAAGGCTTTACAATTAAAAATATATTAATATTTCTAATGAATGAAATGAGTAAACATTCTATGAGAGGAATTATATTTTCATACTATAAACGGCAAAACGGCATTGCTGGCTTATTTCATTAAAACTCAGCAGAATGACTTACTTAGGAGGGGTCTCATCAGGAAACTATGACTAACTGATTTTTTTCTTTTTTTTTTAGATACAAATCAATGTTAATAAAATTTAAAAAATCTCCTGTACTGATCTGCAAACATTCTGCATTTATATTATATAGTTTTGTCCAGTTTTATCCATTTTATTTATATACCTAAAGATAATAAAGATATAAAATTTACCTGCCATTGTTTGTGATTTTGTCAAGAAAAATAAAATTCTCAAAATTCGCTTTTTAAAATTATACGTCAAGCCGATCTTCAAAATTATAAGGATTAAATTTCTTTGGCCGCAAGGAATAAGATTTTAAAATTCACTACTAATGAAATGAATGACAGGTCTTTGGCCGCAAGGAATAAGATTTTAAAATTTACTTCTACTGAAAAAATGACAGGTCTTTGGCCGCAAGGAATAAGATTTTAAAATTCACTACTCTTGAGAAGGGTGTGCAGTTGTGCACTATGAATCCCACGTTGTAAACAAAAGCGTTTTATTACAAAGCGCTTTTTAATTCTGGAGCAATGCGGTAAATTTTTCACAGGCCAGTTGGGTCACCTCATGGAATACCTTTTTTGTTAATAAGGAGAAAACCGGCGGAAGTCGCGACAAATGAATTTTTTTCCCTTTTTTTGAAAAGTAAATGAAACGCATTATGTGGAAAATGTACACGTTACATTAACGGTTTATTTTTCTATCACTCTTGGTCAAGTGTGGGGAGGGAGTTACAAATATCAAGAAGGATTAATCAGACCTCTAATACTTAAATTAAAAATGATTATTACCATCGTATAATAATTATGTATTGTGCATTAACTATCTCATTTTTATTTTTGTTAACTTTTCAATCTTGCAATATAATATTACAGATAAAAAGTCGTAATAGCTGTAATAGAGTGTAAATGCCTTCATATCATGTATAATAGATTTTTTTAAATTTTTTGCGCATTTTGCTTTGCTTTTGTCGAGTCGTATGTCTACAGCTGTTTCTTTATCATCTTTTTTTATTAATAATTATTATTGTGAGAATAAAAAATTGCTCTTGATCGCAACACTCTGCTCGCATTAGAAAAATCACAAAAAAATGATTATACAATTCATAGTATTTATATTATTAAGGAATCAACTAACAAAATTTTTGTCCTCGGCGCACAATTACAGCGCCTAATTATCTATACACATTAAATAATGACTGACATGCCTATGTATGTGTGAATGTGATGCTCTCTCTGGAACCACTTGTCCGTCTCGAAGCCGCGTGCATTAATATTAAATATTTTACTGCGAGAAACACATTTTCTCAGAAACAGAAAACTGCAAGCCAGGCGGGGCTGAAAGACGGGGTCGATCGATCGATGAACCAAGAAGGGAGAGCTGCCGGCTGTGAGTTGAGCACACAAACTATGACTTAAATGACTGGAATGTCTTGGGCTCGAACAAGCAAGCGGTTTGGCACACTGCGAACCAACGATTATTGTCTGTCACTCTCGAGCTGGGCGGCCCAACAACGCGGTATTAAAAAAAATAATTAATTCAATAAACAATTAAGACACAGCACAAATGAACGAACTAATTCGATACATAAATATTTACGAACAAACAAAATTGAGCAGGGGCCGGCAGGGTCGGAGAGACTGCTGCTGCTGAGTGCTGAGACAGTGGTGGTTTTTTTTTCTTTTTACATGTTGTACGCCACGTAGATGGGGTCGAGTTGGTCGGCCAGGAAGCCGTCCCGCAGGTGCATGCGCTGCTTCTCGCCCCTCGAGTTTATCGGCACCACCCCTGGGTCGACAACCACCACCACCCCAACCACCAGGTGGTGCTCCTCGAGAACAGTGTTGGTCACCAGTGGCACCAGGTCCAACGCTTCACTCTCATTGCCGTCCAGCTCGGCCACAACCACCAACAGGTTCGTCCATGTGAAGACGGCACTGAAAAGAAAAATTCATTTCATAATTTTGTAAAACACCAAAAACTTCTGGAAAGATTAAATGAAATATTGAAAACATTCACTTGTTTCTCTGTGAATTTCTTTTAATTTTATTGTGATATTTTTTATGGGAACTTACCATTCAGCAATCTTCTTATGGCACCTAAGAACGCTGTTTTCAATATCAATGGGGTGATATCTCATCCCTCGCAGCATGATGGTTTCGTCGAGAGCACCAACAACAAACACCGCATCATGCAGTTCTGCAAATAAGATTTTAAAATTTACAGCAAATTTTTTTACATTGATTCTAATTTTTTTTTTTAATTATTATTGTAATCAAACTATCTTTAGTGAATAGTTTAACGCACCTGGTGGTTCATTGCCCTGCAAACCAGGAGGTGGAACAGGTGGTGGAACCTGCCCTGGCAGCAGTTCTCCATTGTCGTCAAGTGGGTCGACGGTGGCTGGCACAGCCTCAGTTCTCCTCAGGAACCCAAGGTAACCTGTTCTGGCGTAAACCTCACCAGTGTTTCCTGTGACAAGACGGGCGCTGAAGTGGTCAGCATAGTCGGACTCGTCTCCGTAGATGGTGAAGTAGCCGCTGGCGTTGTGCGGAGACTGCACCCAGATTTCTCCCAAATGCGAGTCCCCACACTGGCCTTTTGTCTCCGGATCAGCAATGATCACCTGAATGTACAAAAATTAACCATATTAGGACAGAGTTAAATTTTTTGTTTTTAATCAATTTTATACAGATCTTAATAACATAATTGTACAATTTTCAAACAATAATTTATGAATAGTAATGAGAATGTATAGGAGCAAAATAAACCAAAATGTCATTGACACTGACCTTAACTCCAGGTAGGAGTTTTCCAGACTCCATGAGACACAGCGAGTGCGGGCTGCCTCTTTCCACAAGGGACACCCTGTCGTTTCTGAGTGCCCTCAGGTCTACGTAAACAGTTGAGGGCTCTGGACTGGAAGCGCCTTGCAAGCAAATGGCCACGTTGACTCTGCAGCCAAATGAAGTAGAAACCGCGCGTGGACTCAAGCCGAGGGCAGAGAAAAGTTTGGAGAATGACGAGCTCAGGGCAATTCGTGGCCGCTCTTCGGCAACCACGACACACGTTCGTACACAAGCCAAAGACACGCCTCGTTGCTTCAATTGATTGACCTGAATTTTTATAAAGTTTAATAATTTCATAAAAGTAAAATATTATTATAAATAATTTATATGATGTAATTTAAAAAAAAAAATATATATATAAAATTGAAGTTTTGTATTTACCGAAGAACCGAGTCCTTTGGTGCACAGCTCCATGACTCCGTACGAACAGAAAGTGTCCCTGACCCTGTACTGACTGACAGCTGACAACCACAGGGCTGGGTTGAGTTCAACCTCTGAAGGTGGAATAAGGATGGAGTGGTGACCCGAGTAGATGGAGCTCAGGCACCAGAGGGCAAATCCAAGGCCGCAGTAAGGGTCGAGGCAGAGAGCAATGTGTCTCGAAGGATACAACTCGCAAGCCAGCTTCATAGAGCGGCACATTGAGGTCACAGCGGCATGTGACATTTTGATGCCGGCCAGCATGCCAGTCGTTGACACACTGAAGTCCAGGTAGGCCAGCATTTCAGCCGTTGGCGCCCTATAGAGGGCGGCCAGCTTCTTCTTGGGCATGTCATCTGTGTCCAGGGTCACTGGCCATGACTTGATGTCGACGACGTTGCTCGCCTCCTTGCTCTTCAAAAGTTTGATCACGTTTTGGTTCGACAGCACCAGCACAGACTTGCTGACGTCAACAATCATGCGGACTGTCGGAAGGGTGGTCTGCAGGTTCTGCGGGTGCGGTGGCCTGATGGTCACAGGAACGGCGCCTGAAAAGAAATTGTGTTTAGATTTTAAAATTAATTCATTTTTACTTATAATTGTTTAATTAACTTTAGTTCTCAGATTTTATTTATTTTTTTTTTCTCAACTTACCAACATAGAGGCAGCCATAGAAAGCGCAGATAAGATCCAATCCTGGAGGGTAGATGAGGGCGACGTGATCTCCAGTGTTGATCCTGGCCTTCTCCAGCAGCAGGACGCCAACCCTTTCGGCCCTTTTGTGCAGCTGCGAGCAGGAAAGGGTTGTTGCCACTCCTCCCTTTGAGTTGAGCAGCGTGAAGATGATGTGGTCTGGCGTCGTCGTCGAGCGCCATCGGAGAATCTCCGAAATGAACTGATGCTGAAGAATGATACAAATTTATTAATTTTCGTCAAAACTTGGAAATTTAGAAAATCGTCCTAAAGATCTGCCAAAATACCTTTCTAGCCAGATCTGACTCTTCGTCCATTGCGCCCATGTCCCTGCCCTGGGCAGACGCCAGCCTGTTGCCCTGCACAATGTTGCCGACCATGACGGACGCAGGACCCACGTCTGGAACGGTGACACGCGTAGCTAGGGAGCCACATTACAAAACAAACTATTGTGGTCAACACCGCCAACCAAACAAAACAGTCAAGACATGCAAAACAAAATGAGAGAAAGAGCCACTGTTGGTGACTGGGAGCCATTCACGAAATCCGCCAACCACCACCAAGTGTCCGGGGAGGCAAACAGTGGGTGTGACTGTTGGATGCACCAGCAGGCCAGTCGACCAGCAGAGACTTACTTAGCTTTTGAACACAGCTTAAGTGTTTCGGGCAACACGAGTGGGGGTTAAAATTAATCAGAGGTGAATCCATCGGTGATGGGTTCAAAAAGAAGCTCAGGTGAATTTGGTTCAAATCACAAAAACTCATTGATCGGTCACTCGATTGGATTTTTGATCATTTTCATTTTAGACTACGGCATGCAAAGGTGAATGAATGCAAGGTGGAGTAATGTTTTGAATTCCTTTTAAAAAAATAAAATAAGAAATAAGTCAAAATAAAATCAAAAGAAGCTGATGAATTTTGCTGTTTTAGTGAAAATAAACTGTTTAACTGACAGTGGTTGTTACACAGGAGGGGAGTTTTGTGGGTAGACCCATACAATGGGCACCAAGTAAGCTGTCTCAAAACTGACAAACAGCAGGCAGCAGGAGGCACAAGTCACACCACAATCATCCAGAAATCAGTTTTATCCCAACAAGAATGAAAGTGAGTTCACATTGACTTGGTGAGCCTTTTCTGCCCTCCAAAACTGCATGCCACCTCTGAGTTACTTTTTAATTTTCAAATACTTGCTGTGTTCGCTTGCTCACCTGAGTGAATCTCGCGTGGTTTTGGCAAGTTGGTGACGCAGGTGTGTGGGCAGAGGAGCACATTGGCTGGGTGCAGGGTGCCTTCGAGAAAACGCCGCTTGGTCTCGGACAGGTGGATGCCGCCGAGAGGCGTCTTCGGAAGGTAATTGGGTGGCACCAGGGCCAGACAGTAAATGCCGACTTGGTGGATCGAGTCGACTGCTTGCAGAACTCGAGACATCCATTGAAAACTCTGCAAAATTTTTAATATATGTTAATTGGCAATTCTGAAGGAATTCATTAATTATAAATTCCAACCTCTTCCTCGCTGCAGTCTGGCCTTTGCTCAGCAATGACACAGATTCGCTCATCTCGCAAAACCCTTATGCTGAAGACAGCGATTCTGCCTCTATAAATGAATTTCATTGGTTCCACAGCCAGAACGGTGGCAATTAGGTCGTCAGCATTGTGCTTTCTTCCAGTTACGGTCATTAGACCATCCCTCGAGCCACAAACAAATACAAGACCACCCTGCAAGAAATTTATTTTTTAATAAAGTTGAATACATCTAAAACATTTTTTTTTAAATGAAAATTATAATTACGGGTCCAAGGAATCCAAGGAGGCCGCTTCGAGTGAATTCAGCTTCGCTCAGAGTCCTCGAGTCTGAGTGAAGAGGCTGCACTTTGAACGAACTATTGGTGAGACCAGAAAGTCCCCAGTACTGGCTTCCAGTTGCCCCAGAGCTGACACAAATCTCTCCCACCTCGTCTGTCTTGCACAGGTACGGAGGCCCTTCCATTTTTACAACAACAATCATACCTGAAAAAAGTAAATAAAATTAAAATTTCTCAAAGCAGATGAGGGGTTTGAATAATTAATGTTGTAATTAGGAAAATAGCATAAAATGTCACTTACAACCAGGCATGACTTGTCCGCAGTCTTGTAGTGTCAGAGAGGTGAGCGAGTTCTCCTGGTCAACGCGCACCACGCCGTAGCTGAGGCCGGACATGGAAAGGACGCCGCGCCCAGTGGCGTTGACCCCGGCGCGACCTGGTCTCCTGACGGACACAGTGAGTGCCTCGCTCGAGCTGGCGCAAGGACAAATGGCGTCAGGTCGGAGACCCTTGGACTGGAACACGCTGAGGAACTGGTCGCACGAGGACAAGGACCACGGGTTGGCGCCGTCAGCCACCAGCAGCAACCTGAGAATTAAGTAATGCAAAATTTTGAGTATTTATCCCAATAATTAAAAATAAATTGAAAATGCTAAATTACAATTTATATTTGAGGTTAGAAAAAATTTGTGCAATTTTTTTAATTACCTCAGAGAAGAGAGGCTGATGTCCTTGTGATCTTTGGTGGCCAGCAGGCCCCAGTGGAGGTCGCGCGACTTGACTACGGCCACACTGGCCCTGTACTTGGTGATCATCTGCATCCACGAGGCTGGGTTGACCTTCATCAGGGCGTACGGGATGTAGACGACGTGCATGCCGTTGAGGACGGCGCCCAGCACCGAGTGCCACAGACCAACCTCACGCTTGAAGTCAAGCACACAGACGGCCACTTCGCCTTCAGTGTAGTTGCAGGCCATTGTTAGTGTGCGGCAGTGAGACAGCATTGCAGCTCTGGTCACAGTCACACCCATGACTGACCCATCTTTGTCCGTTGTATACTGAAAAAGATTAATAGGAAATTTTGTTCATGAATTAAAAACCCATTTAAAAAGTTATTAATTTCCAATGTTAAATTTTTAACTCTGCTCACCTCAATGTAGGCTGGAGTGTCATCCGTCAACCGCGGTGGCGGGAGCCACTCTTTTGGAGCTTTTGCCAGGTGCTCCGTGACAAACCACTGCAATTTAGGCCACCCTTTGAAGGCTACGACTTCACCTGCAGCCGTTTTGGGCAGACCCTTCAAGCATGCCTCTGAAGTGAGTGCAACCTGCACTCCACAGCTGCCCAGCAGAAAGCCAATTTGCTGAGATCCAGCGTCCTATCAAACGCCAAATATTTATTTAAATTCTGATGAGAAAAAAAATCATTTTGAATACTGACCCGCCTGGTGAGAGGCACCTCGATGGGCACGGGCACGATGCCGGCTTGCAGGCACCCGTAGAAGGCGCACAAAAAGTTGATTGGGTCGTTGTTGGGGTAGACCAGGGCTATCCTATCACCTGTTTTGAGAAACGTGTCGCCCTTACTGAAAGTCTTGTTCAGAAGGGTGTATGCGATTTTCTGAGATCGACTCAGCAGCTTGCCTGAAAAGTGAATTAAAATAATAAATACAACTGGAAAATATTTTCAACCATCAAAGTATTATATTTAATTATGTAATTGATCAATAAATATTAGATACTTGTAAAATGATGATTTTATTGTGTCAATAAAATCTAACAAATAATTAATTGAAATATTTCTTTGAATCATTTCAAATTCTGTCACTTACCATAGGTGAGGGTGATGCTGAGTTTGCCGTTCGGGTCGAGGACCGTGGCGACGGGCGCCTTGTAAGTGCCTGATCCATATCTTTGGATGGCAGCTTCCAGGTTGCGTGGTAGCCCAGAGGGCACCACCAGCTGCTCGCCCATGGCCGGGGTCATGGCGCTGCCCTCAGGCTTGGGCGCGTTCGGGTCTTTGGGGTTGGCGGCAATCTCGAGTTCAATGTCGTCGTCTTCGTAAAACTCGGGCAGTGGCCGTCGCTTTGGCCGCTTCAGGGTGTTTAGGAGCTGCTGGATTTTGGCAGACACTTTCCAGCGGCCAGTGCCTGTGCCCATGCTGTCGTCTGAGAGGGTTGACTGGCGAGAGGATTGGTGGTAACGGCCAACCCGGTCGGCCGCGGCTGTTGGCCGCCTTGACTGAGCTGTGTTGTGCGTTACATCAGGGGGTTGAGAATCTGCAAAGAGGAAATTAATTAAAATTTTGGATCTCACGTCAACTGCAAGTAATTAAACATAAAATTTTGAAACCTTATTTTAAGTGGATTAAAAATTTCAAACTGTTAAAAAAAAATTTTGATTAAAAACTTCAATTCAAGAATAAAAAAGTTAATTAATTTAAACAAAGCATAACTAAAAAAGTAACTAGATACAATTAAAAAATAAAACTTACATGGCCTAAGGTTGTGCATGACTTCAGAGAGATCGGTAATTTCTTTGCTTCTCTTGTCTCGCGGTTCTGGCCGCTCTTCCCATCCATTTGGCAGCCTAGAACAAAATTTCAAAATTATCTTAAAGTTTAAAACAGTTTTAACAACTTTTGGAATTATTTGACATTAGTTTAACAAGATGTATTATTTGATTAATAAGTAAATTGATAATTTACCTGGTTTGATGGTGTTGTTGGTGCGAGGGGCGGGCGAGACGTTGCTGGGGTGGCGTTTCTCTGGCCGAGCCGGTGCTGCTTGTGTCCGAGTGCGCAATCAAGGGCTGCTGGGCCGTCGGGATGCGCGCTCTCTCCCTCTCAGGGGTGCTCTGCTCTTCGCCACCCTCGTTCACCATGCTGTCGTCGTCAGAACTCGACTCGGCTACAAAAGATGAAAGAATTTTTTTTTATGCTCAAATTTCTTTGAGACAAAACTAACAACGAGAAAATCTGAAATAAAAGGGGAAGAATGTGACAAAGAGAATTGCTGAAAGAGATGATTTTGAAAATACAGTAGATGGAAACTGCAAAAGAAGCTAATTTCGCACAACAACCATGTTCTCCGAGAAAGTTATAAAATGGCTAGTTTTAATCCGATAAAAGTTCACATTTGTAATTGAATTCTGACAGCAAGTCAGTGTTGACAAAATATTCAAATAAATTTTTAGAAACGGTTCCATAAAAATATTAAAAATGTTTCATTTAATAAATAAAGGTAATTTGAAACAAGCGAGTTTTATTTTAAATCTTGCCACAGGTGAATTTTGAGAAAAGAAAATTTGTGGCAAAATGTGTTTGCTAGCACGTAGTATTTTTCCATTTCTGCAGTTTTCCACGACCCACTTTGAACGTGTCCTTCAGGAGCAGCGAAAGCAAGGGGTGATTTATTGCGACGGGACATAGATTATCATAACGCGAGCGTACTCGTCTCATTTCGCACGTGCAGAGTGTTGGCTGGATTCTGCAGCAAGGGAGCTCACTTTATTTTTTATCCCTTTGATGCCGGCCTTGTTGATGCCATCCATCTGACAGGAGAATCGCAGGAATGTGTGCGACGGAGATGTATGCATGCAGGGAGGAATTCTATTTTCAAAGTAGGACGCGCGACAATAAACCACACTAGAGGCAGCGCACACTTTTATTGAGAGAGAAAGAGTCGCGCGCGCGTATATGCAAAATCGAGAGCAATATCGCGCGGCGCGAACAAAGAAAGATTGTTCTTTTTCCCCATCAGCAAAGCCTCTTCTTCCTTTCGCTCCGCAATTTGTGTAGAAAAATTGTGCGATAAAGCGGCGCTTCATCCCCGTCGGCTTATTAAAGCTACGTGTAGAATCTTTTCTCGATCAAACTGCCGCTCAGAGAGAAAGAGAAAAAAGGGAGCAGACTGGCGGCTGATCGGATCGGGTGGAATGAAAATGAGTCGTCGCTCGATGAAAAATTACTCGCCCCGGTGGACTCGCCCGATATCAAATTTCCGCGTTAAGCTCAAATCTGGTGCAAATGATAAACTTGAGCGACGAAAGGGCACGAAAAGCATGTTTTCTTCTTCGTTTTGCAAAAAAAAAAATATGAAATTTTAAAATGTTTGTTGAAATTTTTAGTTTTCTCAAAGATTGATTTTTAAATTTTCATAACTGTATATTTTGTTCAACAAAGCCTTATCCATGATTTCAATTCTAAAAATAATTCAATTAAAAGATAAAAATTAAATATTGAAGGGAAATTAATGAACAAAATCACTCACCTGAGTCCCTTCTGTCCCTGTCGGGCGACTTGGCCATGACGGAGGTTCGTTTCGACGGCATCGGCAGCGACGGTTTGGGCCTGCTCTGCATGGCAGCCAGAGCCTGCTGCACCGCTTCCTGCCGCACTTCTGCAATCAGAAAAGGCTCGGTTATTTCAGTTAGTCAAGCAGTCAATTTTTAGAAGTACACGTAATTATTAAATTGCAACACTCGCTAGGCACGCGACACAGACGACGAGGAAAATATGAAAGGAAACGGACGTGGCGAGAAGAAAACCCCGCAGCTGACCCGCGACAATTAATATCGAGCAATTAACGGGACCCAGAAACAACTGATTCTGGTTCAAAGTATTGTACGGTATTGTTGGGTTGTTTGCTGTTCTTCAACTTGTACACCCGTTCAATGGTGGAAATTAATTGGTCTTTCCAATATTTGACATGTAGATAATCAATTTTAAAAATGAAGAAAATTAAATATAAAACGATCTCTTCAATAAGATTGTAGTTATTTGCTTCACTTTAATTCAAAAGCTTAATTTTATATCGTTTTCTTGGAAATATTTTTAAATCATTGATTTTATGATTATTAATATTATTTTCCTTACTAATAATATACAAAATATATTTCTGAGTTTGAAAGCTGCAGGATAAATATAAAACATTTGAAATTAAAATTAAAAATTGATGCTCTATACAAAAAAATATCAATTATCTCTGTTCAATTAACGAATTTCCACTATTTTACTTGTATGTTTGCTTAAATAAAATTGATACACGTTTGGTATTTACAATTAAGGACACCTATGTGCGAAACATTGGAAAGTTCTTACGACTCGGCAATAAACATCTCCAATAATAAATAATGTCCTCAAGCCATTTGAGCGGCAAACGGTGAATTCAGAAGATTTTCGAACAGAAAAGCGCCAAATTAAATATTTCGTCCTGCTAGATACGAATGGCGCGTTTTGGAAGCGAGAAATTCGAAGACAGACCTGGGAAACGGGCGATTTTGGCTCCATACGGCGCCTTGTGTCTGAGGAGCATCCTCCTCCGTGTCACTCCAGCCAGACAAGCGCGAGAGTACTGAAAAGTCTTGAAAACAGGTCTTGCTTGCAGTGTCTGCTCGCTTGTATTGGCCGGAGTATGAGTCAGAGTCGGTGGGTCAGTCACCGTCACGCTGACGCAACTTACCGCGTAACCAACCAAACTCTCTTTTTCTACTACAAACTAATTATTTTCCACCGGAATGACTCAAAACACAAATGGAGGGCAAAGGGCCAGTTTGCTCTGCCGATTCGGCCCTAATCGACGTCTATTCCAGAAACAGCAGCGCTTCCTGAGGGCGCGCCCGTTGGACCAACGCTCTCGAGCGTGAAGTTGCGCCGTTTTGTTCGGCTAATGCCGCACCGGCGGCTCCGCGCAATTTCACTCCCAAATGGGCACCTTTTGTATCCAAATTGCACTTGATGATTTGCGGAATAAAAACAGCAGGTCGCGATATTAGAAGAGAAAGAATAACTGTTGATCCGACTAACAAAAACGGTAATTTTGATTTGCTTAAAAATAATAAGGTATTTAAAGTACAAATTATTAGAAAAAAATATTTTTTTTTAAATTACCTATTATTCTGATAAAACTAAAAATTAAGGAAATTACAACAATGGTGGATTAAATTCCCAATAATTTCCAAAAAGTGCTCTTATTGTTGTAAAAACTTAATTTGACTGAACCAATAATGATTCCATAGCCAAAAATTTCAGTTTGTATTATATTTTGATGTGGAATTCTAGTTAAAAAAAAAAAAAACAATTATTCCGTTGTGAATGTTAAAAAAATTATGGTGAGAATAAAAATTATTTGGTAAATGAGCCAGATTTTTCTGCATCAGTATAAAAGCTCTTGAACGGCTGGAAGTTTTAAACAGTCAATTTTCAACAGTTTAGTCACTGCTAGGAATAAATTTCTGCTGTTTTCATTCCGCTCATCATTCTTTTGCCTCCACTGTCTTTGGCTCACTGCCCGACCGAAGCATAAAATGCAAAACGCACTACTTTTCTTTTTGGTCTCCGGGATGCAGCTGCATGACTCTCTTTTAAGTGCGTCTTATTTCAATGTCGTTCAAATTAAACTCGACTATCGCTCAACAGGGAGCGATTTGCTAAACCGCTGCAGCTGGGCAATTTTAAATATTTGAAATAATATTTATTTAGAACAGACGTTGTTGCTTCATTGCCAAGCTTCCTACGCACAATTCAGTCTGCGAGTGCGAAGGATTCAGAGAAGAAAGAAGTGTTTAAAGATAAATAAATACTCTGCGGGATTAAGACAGGTTTTCAGAAAGTTTAAAATAAACGATCAATTTTCGTTTGCCATTACTGAAGTTCAATGAAACTAAAAATAGAAGCCGCAGGTTTTTTGTATGATTCTATTCCATTGTCATCTGAAGCAGACCTGAAGGTTGAAATGTGTTGGAATTACTGGATTTCCTGCATGCAATTAATTTTATGCATTAGGTTATCTTAACTCGAGATTTCGGAGAGTAATTTATGAAAATTTAATTTATTTAAACATTTATTTAATTTTTTGCATTCACATCATAATGAACTAAAAAGTTTTTTTGCACTTTTTTTTTTAAGAATTTTAATTAAATATTAATTGAAAAAGAGTGTTAACACCTGAGTGTGGACTAACTTATGGCTGGAAGAAGGAAGATTGGCAAAAGTTTGTGCACTTGGCGCGCGTGATAATTACTTCATCTCGGGCAGCACTAAGGAGGGGTGCCGCGAAGAAAAGCGCCCGCAGATAAAGGAGACGAATAATGAGCGTGGTGTGTGTGTACCGGGAATTGGATTTCATTGTCTGATTTATTCCGAGCGCGTTAGCGGCGACTAATTCCGCATTCAGTCCTCGTATGCCTCGCAGACACTCGAGGAAAGAACAAACGACGACGGGCTGCGATGGGAATAGCAGTCGTGCAATCCGACAAAGAAGACGAAATTAATATCAACACTCACAAAGCCCGGCAAATTAAATTATTTAATTTTTCCTCCGTCTGTCGCTCAGTCAGAAATACACACAAAAAAAGAAGAAGAAACTCGCGTTCGCGAAAATGATTTTCCGGCCCGGCGCACCCGAAAGGAGGAAGGACGCGCGCCATTTAGCATCGCAAAAATAATGCTGCACGTACCAAACGGAATAAATGCGAGGCGCTCACTTTTTTAAAGGAAATTCAATTTCAGGAGGAAGCGAGATGTTTTCTTCCGCAGCTGCATTTTTTTTCCAACGGAGATAAAAGAAATGGGGATATTGGAAAAATCATCAGAACGCAATCTTGCGGATCACTTTGCAAAATTAGATTCACGCACGTCTGGCAAATAATGTACAGCTTTTTGCAAACGGTTTTGTTGCCAAGCTATTTGTGATGCAAAATGCAAAATAATGACGCATATATATCAACTTCCTAATGCCGATTACCTTGAATTTATGGAACATTTGAAAACTTTGGTCAGGAATGTGTTTTTTCCACAATGACCAGTTTTACTTTCACCAAGTTTCAAAATTTGAATTGTTTTTAATTTAACATTTATATAAGCTTTTGTTGTCAATAGTAAGAATAAATAAATAAACAGAAATAAATTTAATTACTTTGGTATTTCAACAATTTTTTTTCAACTTTTAAAACTCATCGAACAATAAAAATCTTTCAGTTCATGAAACTACTTTCAAGTGACGTTTTTAAGAATGGCGCTTGTAAATAATGCAGGTCGTCGCCAGATTGATTAAGGTCGGCGGGTGCTACGGTAAGAACTATTTCACGCCCGATTCGTTTTGTCCGTCGCCTGTAGCAAGTGATAGGCGTGCGTGCCGAGTCGAACTAATTGATCCCGTCGAGAGCTGCTCGGAGGTTCTTCTTGCGCCGGAGCCGCCAAATTAATTAAGCACCCTCGAGGGTTGACTTACGAGTTGTTTACTCGAGACTCACCTGAGTGGTAGCGCTTCTCGTTGTGCGTGACTCGGCGCTGCGTCCTGCGGGCGCGTTGCCCTCCGGCAGGTGGGTGTGCTCTTCCGCCTCCGCCTCCACCACCGCCGCCCACACCTCCTCCGCCCCCGGAACTGGCGGCTGGGGGTGCTGCAAAAGCGAAAGAAAAAAATTAATAATTAACATTTTTTTATATTTAAAAGAAAATTTAAATTGAATTTAAATCGTAATTCTGATAATTTATTTTGTGGTTCTTTTAAATCATTTTCTATTACATTATTTAAAATTGATTCATGGCAACGTAAAAAATAAAATACACTATAAAATTTCACTAAAATTTTCAAAATAAAAATCATTTCCAGATCTCATTATCTTTGTTGACTAGTTTTAAAACTCTTTTGAATACCCTAGCCCTATTAATGTACATAATATGTTAATTATTTTACTAAGAATATAATTAAAACAAATTAAATGTTACTTTAAAAACAAATTTTGCTCGTAGCGAAAAATTCTGCGCTGCTTTTGATACAAGTTTTCTTCGAAGTAAACAAATCTAAAGGAAATTTCAAACAAAAAATTTTATCAGGTAAAAAGTCCAAGTAGCAAAAACTCCCCTTTGGCAAAAAGTGGCCCTAGGCATGCACACATATGAAATTGAAGTTTTCCGCCGGCACGTAAATAAAAACTTTGCGAGCCGAAAACGATATTGGCCCCGAAAAAAGAGTTTGGGAAGATGCCGGCAGAAAGGCAACAAATGGGAATCCAATATCGGGAGTGGCAGCGTTTATTTACGGTTGCACTGTTTCGGAGCGAAAATTCGAGGCAGTGATTACGAATGGCGGAAAGAGCTTGGGGCGGGCGGGCGAGGAAAGAGTAAAGAGCGAGACGGTCCACTAAAGAAGACTGCTCGCGTTCGAGACAAACAAAAAGTAGAGGCAGGATTTTCATTTGGCAGTCCAATAAAGAGGTGGCTCGTAAAACTGGCGGCGGCGCGCAGGTAAAAAAACGCGATTCACTCTGGAAAGGAAGGCATCGCATCACTCCCGTTCGGGAGCGCATTTCTACTCTGCTGGGCTCTCGTAAAATGTTTCACGGTTTAATTAAAAATCCTATACACAATCCCGGTTCTTCGTCGTGTGTTGAACAATGTGGGGGGAAAATTGAATAGAAGCCTTTTCTTTTATGCATTTTATTTAATACTTTAATTTAGTATATATTGATAGTAAATTAGAACTTAAAAATCAATTCAAACAATTCATGTCATATTTTACATTTTTAAATATTACCAAACTACTTATAATTAAATATTAAGTGAATTTGATATAATCATTAATCAATTTTAGGTATTGATTTAAAAAGAACGAATATAATTTCATCCGAGCTCAGCTGTAGCGAATTCCTAGTATAATTTCCCTTTGAATATTCAATACAAAAGAGGCATTACAGCTAATGTTAGTGAAATTCAAAGAAAAATCCACTGATCATATTAATTTGAAAAGCGCCACTAGCTTTGTGAGCAGCCGGATTAACGCGACTTTTCAAAGGTTTTAAATTACAGCCGGCAGTGCAGAGAAAAATAATTAGCGTGATTTTCCTGTCCTTGCAGCGCAGAACGGAGGAGCTTGACCTACATACATTAATTTCACCCTTAGCAGGAAAATTAAAAGCCGGCAGCAAAGGGCTGGAAATGCATAATCAGCACCAGAAAAATAAAATAAGCAGCAGAAAAGCCTGCAAATGAGCGAATGTACTCACGTTGTGCTTGTTTCGGAGCATAAGGCGCCAAGAGCCGAGATCGTTTCTTTTCATATCCCTTCTGTGTGATGTCGCCTGGAACAGATGAAAGAAGCAAATTAGTGATATGCACATTTATGAAATTGCGAAAGGCAGTACAATTTATTTCCAAGGGGAAATGTAATCACGAAATGTGAACGCGAGTCTTGAAACGGCGCTCATTACCGCATCTGCTCGTTATTCAAATTTTCCATATTCACCTTGGCCGGCAAAATATGTGCGAGCGCCGCCGGAATTCGCTCATGGCGACGTGCAGCACGTCGCTGGCATGCAAAACAGCGAGCGACGCGAAAATTCACGCAATTTGAAAAATTGTTTGTTATTTTTTAGTGTAGCCATAAAATTGAATTATTTTGTAATTAATATTGTACTATAATTAAAAAAAAAAATTGGTTTGAAAACAGAGCGATTTTAATTATCATTCGCTATGAATTGAACTTAATTTTATTTCTGTATAAATAAATATTTTATTCAGAAATATTTAATATTTTACCATTTTCTCCAAAAATTTTAAAATTGAAAGATTCAAAATCAATATAATATGAAGATTGCATTAAAACACACAAATATTTTTATTTTACTTTTTCAACTAAAAACTAGTCAAGAAACTTTAATTGCAATTTCTTTTGAGTTCACAGCTTTGAGATGGTCACCGCAGAAAACTTCTTCTGCACAGCAGAAATGTGCGACCAATTTTCCCGAGGGCAATTTTACAAGTGGACGCCGGTCGCATGCTCGTCCACAACGAGTGTAATTTTCGCGCTGCGGTCAAGCCGAGCGAGCCAGACGGCATCAGCAAACCCACTTGAAGCAGAAGAAGAAACACGCGGAAGCTCTCTCTGGAGGAAATTTATATTAGCGGCGCCGAGTGTGCCTGCTTGGAATACCATTAGAAATTGGCCATCCGCTCGCTTGGGTGCTCTCTGAGCCCAAATAGGGAGTTGCGCGGGGAAATGAACAATTTCTAGACACACTGCACCGTGACATGCAAATATGATTGCGAACGGTAATCAAAGAATAGGGTGTTATTTAAAGATAGGCAAATTAAACTTTAATAATTGCTTCAAAAAAAAAAAAAAAAAAAAAAAAAAAAATAAGATTGTAGATTTTTACTTCCGATAATTGCAATAAAACAAACAAAGAGATTATTAAATTTTTATATGTTAAAACAGATTATTTATTTTTTTTTTCTAATATTTAAATTGAATAAATTTTTCTGGTTTTGCACATTGTTCTAAGTACAAAATCTTCCTCTTCTGTTGTAATTTGATTGAAGATTTTCAAAAACTGCATGCTGTCATAAAATATTCACTTTTATGCCAGTCTTCAATTCAGTCGTGCGTTGGTTATGCAATTGAGGTTAAATTACACTTGACGTTAATTACCCCTAAAAGGTCAAGGGTATTCAGAATGCGCAAGAACCCAAAACTGCTCACCCCGTCTGTTCGTTTGGTCGGACAAACGAGCCACTTGTGCACCTCACAATGCGGCAAAACGGCCACTAAATTCGTAATTCGCGTGGGCCCCCTGCGCTCAATTCCAGTGGTTGCCTCTCAATGACTTCATGACCGGCTGACTGACCTTACTGACGTCATGACATTAAAATTGCTCCGATAATAATTCAAAGAGTCGACATAATTCTGCACGTCTATCAGCGCAGAATGAAATGCATAGCAGAGAAAGATAATGGAGCATTCAGAGGGGCTTAAAAATTCATAAAAAATTCATTTATTTCATTTTCACATTGACCTCAACAAAATGATTGCAATGATTTATGTGAAATGTAATTGCAAAATACAAAATAGAAGTCAAAAATTTTCTACAAAAAAATAAATAAAATAAAAGTTTTTCTAATAATATTGACGTTTTACTCATTTTCAGTAAAGGCTATCGCAGGATCTGATTAATGGAACTTTTTGAAACTTCAGCGTAAATGGGCTTTATCAAAAGTTCGTGGGACACGTTGCGGTCGGACGGATTTGCAAACATTTGGGTCAGAATTGTCGTTTCGCAATTGTTGTCGCAGTGTTTCGTTGATGGAAGTTTGTTGTCTGTGATGTCTGGTGATACCGAGCGAGGATCAAACGGACCGGCAGGAAATTAGAAGGGTGTGTTTGGTGTCTGGGGTGCTTTCATTTCGGGCTGCTTTTCTTGCTGGATGGCAACAGCGTCCAGGTCACCGCGGTTTTTGGGTCACGGCGTGGTTCGGAAAACTCTAATCGATCGATCCAGAAACTGGATTGCAATTTTTCTTGCATTGCAATAATAAAATGTAAATAGTTAATAACAATATTAATTAAATTAAAACCATAAATGTTCTAATTATGGATTATTTAAACTAAAAAGTTGAACCACTGAAAAATGACCACAATGTTTTTTCCTCGTCCGGGCAGCTTTATGTAGCCCCTTGCGAATTGCCGACAGCCCTTTAGCACGTTCCGTTCTCCAGTGCAATTTTTCGCTCGGTTCGACGGGTGCCCAAAACTCGACGGACCCTTAATTCAGGCCCTCGACGTGCGTCTGCTCAATAATTCACTGCACGTGTCAGCGATTTCCGAAGGCGCCGTCGAGCAGCGGCAGATAAGCATTGCTCTTTTCCCAAGAGCCGGTCACTTTCCGTCTGCACACGTGTTGACGTGCGCGAACGTAAACAGCGCCCCGTTGTTTACACCGCAACTTCTATATATTTTCTCAGCCCACGGACCGCGCCGGCCAAATGAGAATGAACAGCGCCGCCGCCCGCTCAATAATAATCCGCACACTTTTTCTTTATTTCCTCCGCTTTTTTAGCGAAATTGAGATTTATGTCCTTGGGCGATGACAAATGGCGGCGGCTTTACCCTCAAAAGCGCACAGATTTGTCTCAATCCTCCCGCACCGTTTTTTTCTGACTTCACTTTTTTTTTTAATTATTTCGTAAACAAACCGCGACTGTTTTCACGGTTTTACGATTCTCTCCTCCGCCGTTTCAAATTCAACGTGGCGCCTCTCTGACTTTTTTTTTTAATTTTAGACCCCCGGGGCCGCGGACGTTTTTTTTCATATCCGCGGGGGGCGCGTTCGCTGCACATATGTACTCGAATAGAACGAAATTTCTTCCTCCTGCCAGCAAGTTCGGAGAGATGTGCCGTATTCGTGTCACGCGTGCAGTCAAAAACATGCATCTCCAGAATTATTTATAGGCTCGACAGTATAAATAATTAATTTTTTCCTCACGCCCCGCTTAGGAATGCCGAGGCTAATGAGGTCTTGAGATAAAAAGTTATTATGTATGAGCGACGGGGAGTTTTGTGTTGTTGTTTGGGAGATTAATGCTTCGGAGAGATGCAAGTGTGCAGTCTAACGAGACACTGCGCTGGGAACTTTTTTCGCTTGTTATCAAGAAATGTGACACGATGTTGGGAATGAAAAAAGTTGAAAAGTTTATCCTGGTAATTGTGCTGCGCCGAGGGAATAATGCACGAGTGCTGCTTTTCAAAAAGAAAAAAAAAATGCTAAAAATTCTGAAGCGCGGTAGCAATTAAATTCTTCAAATTAACCCAGAAAACAAACCAACCCTTGAATTTGCTTTTCAAAGAGAACTTTTCTGACAATTCATAGCTTTTTTTACTCTATTTAACTTGGTAAAATAATAATGTCTCGGTGTGAAGATTTCGTCTTCCATTCGAGCTTCGATCTCCAACTGCAAGAAGCCGGAGGATAATTGATTTGCAGCTTTGCAAAAGTGAAGCATATAATCGACTCTATGCATTATTTTTGCAGTTACTCGCATGTTTAATCACTGTGATGCTACACCATATTATTTAAAAAATTTTATCCAAAAAATATTTATTGAATCTATTAGTTAAGTTACTTTATAAATGTCAAGTTACAAAAATTAATGAGAATAATTAGTATCTTATCATAAATAAAATGAACGAACAATTTTAAACATTGAAAGCCTGCGTTTAATTAAACCAGTTGATCACAGTTTTCTCGGTAAAAAATCCGACTCGTGTGGGGCCGCAGGTCTGCACCGTGAGGATAACTTCTTGACGAGGCTGTTGCTCCGCCTCCGGGTCGACTATCTTGTATCTGCCACCCTTTTCCACCACTCTTAAAGAACAGACGAGCCTAATAGCTGTGGCAAGTCCAACTCTTGGGTTGCTGCACTCGATGCGCGCGAAGGTGAGCGGCCGAACAAAGCCTGGAGGCAGCGCTGCAACGTCCACCTCATCTCCTCCTTGGGCTTGCAAAATGTCGCCTACAGTGTTGGTGAGCGACGCGTCTAATTCTTCCAGGGAGTCTTGGGGCCTCATGTTGACCACGCAGGACCTGTGGCCTAAAGAAGCGCGGGCGAACAAGGTTGGGGACGACATTCTACGTCCGGGAAAGCAGAGAGCCAGGGAGCGAGGTGAGCAACGGATTGTCACTGACAATAAAAATTAAAAAATAGAAATGTCGAATTTGATGGATATTTTGAACTCACTACTGTTATCTACCCGGGTGGTGCACGGGAGGGCGTTCAAAATCATCTTTAAGGTGACGAAAGGTTCAAATTAGGTCAGTGTAAGAATTGTGTGCGATTTAAAAAATTCAACAATCCAAATTTGCAACAAAGCAATTCAAACTGATTTATTTCATGAGTTTCCTTTTGGATTGTTGGCCTCAGTTTGTATTTCGCAACAATGAAAAATAACTGTGCACGAAAGTCGGTTTAAAATCTGGACAAAATATTTAAAGTTTCTTCTTGTTATGGTATACTGAATGAAAAGTTAAAGAATGATAACAAGCCTATGATAAAACATCTATTTATTCTTTTTTCAAATGTGAGAAATTTTTTAAAGCGTTTTCCCATTACAAAATTTATGAGTTTTAATGATTTCAAGATATTATTTTTAAGTATTAAATACTTCAAATGCACAAGTAAAAAATCAAATCACCATAGTTGTTGTGATAAATTAAATAAGGAAACGTCAATCAAATTCCGTATTGCGTTATCTTGTTGGGCGTTCAGTTTCCGACCCTGAATTCCCACAAAACGCATAAAACCGCTG